CCCCGATTTAGAGCAAGATACAACGCTCGTAGCGGGAGCATCGTGTCGAACGAATCCGTTTCGCGTTTCGAACAATCGATGACTCCGTGACGCGTTTGAGTTTCACTTTCACGGTCACGGGGGTAGGAAAAAGTGTTCTCGCGATCCACGAAAAACGTGGATGGCGCGCGCGTCCCTCGCTAACGGTCGCTGGCTCGGGGTCCGCGACGCGACCGTTAGAGAGGGAGATGTACTATTCCGAGAATCGTCGTGCATATTCTCTATCGCGGTCGTGCATCGCTTCCACATTTCGTATCAGCGCACTCAACTATCTTCGAAACAAAAGAAACTCGATTTGGACTCGACTTATCGCGCGGACGGAAATGGTTGCTTATCTACGAAAGAACGAAGACGTCGAGAAACGGGAAGAAAGACATTCCTCGCGTTGGAAACTTGGTAATTTATGAAATAAAAAGTTTCTTTCTTGTGTAACACTTTTCAAAATTTTGTTATAAACTTTCCCGAAGTTTAAATTGTTAAAAACTTTGCGCTCTTTGTTTATGGTTTAAAACATGCTTATAAAAAACCTATATTTTGATATTTTATAATAAGTAATTAAAACAATTAGTTTCTCTTAAAATCTAATAATGTTACGTCCACAAGTGCTATATTTAATCAGAAAATCATCTGAAAAATTAAGTATGTATAGATTTCGAAGCTTTGGAGTGTTGCTAGTTTACAAAAAAAAAAATTCGATTTTGACCATGAATCATCGTTTCTGTGAGCCGTATCACAGAGTCCTTAACGATTGAGACACGTTTCGATAAATTGAATGTATCGAGGAGAGATTGATCGCTAATCAATTCTCGAAAATGAAATTCAGACGATGGTTTAGCTACCGTTGTAAAGGCCGTGCACCGGTTGTTCCAGGAACTTATTGATTTATTCGAGGGTGAACAATCACTCCCTAACAACGAACGTCGGAGCACACGCGTCATTGTTCTCGACCGCTCTCGCTATCTTCAAACCCTAGTGCAGCGCGCGCGGAGCTGGCTTTGCAAAATCGTGCACGATGCCTCGTCCATTGCGGGCCGATCTTCGTCGTTGACACGTTTTCCGTTCGATTCTACGAATTCGTTTCGTTAACGAGCCGACACCGCCGCGATACGTTCAACCAAACGATAACACATGTTTTTACATGTCGGTGATTCTATCGATCGGGCCCTTCGTGAATCGCTGCGAGGAGGGCAATCGTTGTCGTGCAATGGCGCTGAATAGAAAGCCTGCAGTGGGTCACCAAAGTAATCGAAAGCTTTCGAACTACGTGTTCGATAATTAAAATAATTACATTACGATCTTTTTAAACATTTCTGAAAGGGGAGCTTCCACTATGCAACTTTTTTGTCTCGCGATTTTAAGGATAATTATTTAGAATAAGGGGCATTTAAATGTGTTGTAGTACTCAACGTTTTGTTTCTGAGATATTTACAAAACTTGTTCAGAATGTTCTATAACGTATTTAAGAATCATCGAAATCGGTGACGTGTCCCCTATCCAAAATAATCACCGTATATGTTCCTAAGTTATAAAATTGAAATTCGAAGTATTAACGAAATCATAGGAATTGAAATTTAATTTTATGTTTAATAATTAAAAATAACGAAACGTGAAATTCGAAGGAAATGTAGCTTGGAGGTTTCGATCGCCGAACAGAACAGACATAATGCAAGACACGTTCGCTGTTGCAATGTCTCGCTCGCTCTCTCGCATTCGCTTTCCTCGTCAGATAGTACACGTAGTGCTTTGCATTCGCTTGAGATTGAAATAGCTGCATATCCCTTTTTCAAGCGATCTCGAATTTTGTCACTTGAAGGCGGGATTTACTTGCCTTCGTTGTTTATTTAATTGTTCGTTTAAATGAAATCGAAAAGCTGTTACGTTCTTTAAAAACTGTTTGCAATATTACATAAAAAATATGACGAATGTTTGAACGAATCTCTCTCTTCTATTGTGATATATTCGTGCATAGGCGTCTCTGTAATACTTGCGGAGTTCCTTTTCGTTCCAGATTTTCCTTTCTCTTTACCCTTAAATACCATCGATATTTGCTCGTCGTGGGTTCATTGTTTCCCGTTCAGCGAGAAAAAACGTTGCGAGCAGAATGACTTTTACGCGTACGAGTTTTCAGCGTTCCACTCTCTGCATCGATAAAGATGACGTATTACAACGAACACGACGCGAAACTTGGTCCATTGCTACCGGGAAACGAATGCGTATATTTGGCGAAACAATTATACCAATCTCGTAAAAACTGCAGTGTGCCAAAACGATAGCGTCCTTGACTCCAAGATGCCAAGTGTCGGACCAAAGGATCTGTTTTTTTGCCACTGAAAACCCCAGTCGACCAAAAGTGGACAAAATTCTTATCCAAATAAAAATCTCCAACAACGAATATCAGACAAATAACTGTTTATCTATCGCTCGTTGAGTAAAAATAAAAATGTTAATCATAGATTATTTTACTTTAACTTCCAAAGTTTGTAACGTTGAATTTGGTACACAATCTGGAAAATATCTACCCACACGACGTGTTGGTTTTGGGATAAATATAATTCTTTATGTAAGACACGTGGTAACTGTTTCGTAAGTTTGCTGTCATTTTTTTGTTCTCTTTTCGAGTTAATATATTTGTTTTGGCTTAGACGGTAGGCCATAGTGATTTTTTAAAAGGATAAGTAGAACAAGGAGGACATATATACTATATGCAAAGCTTTAAGTAAATCAGTAAACTATTTTTAAGAACCTATTCTTATTTTTTATTTTAATACCGGTAAAATGGCTGAAATCGTAGAAACCAAGAGACAACTTTTGGTGTCTGCGTTCTAAAATACAGGGTGTTTGGCCACCCCTGGGAAAAATTTTAATGAGGGATTCTAGAGGTCCAAATAAGACGAAAATCAAGAATACCAATTTGTTGATGGAGGCTTCGTTAAAAAGTTATTAACAATTAAATTCAAAAATTTCAAATCGTTCTGGAAAAATTATTTTCGGTTGCGGGTGTCAATTACAATCATTTTTGATCATCAGACATACCCCCGAATTCCTACCCACTTTCTAGAAAAAAATTCGATAAGGTGTGAAATTTTTCGACGGAAAAAAATATTTCAAATCGTTCTAGAAAAATTATTTTCGGTTGCGGGAGTCAATTACAATCATTTTTGGTGAATACATATACCTCCGAAATCCTATCCATTTTCGAGAAAAAAAATCGGGTAGGTACTGAAATTTTTTGGCGAAAAAAAAAATTTCAAATCGTTCTGGAAAAATTATTTTCGGTTGCGGGAGTCAATTACAATCATTTTTGGTGAATACATATACCTCCGAAATCCTATCCATTTTCGAGAAAAAAAATCGAGTATGTGCTGAAATTTTTTGGCGAAAAAAAAATTTTCAAATCGTTTTAAAAAAATTATTTTCGATTGCGGGGATCAATTACAATCAGTTTTGGTCATTAGACATACCCCCGAAATCCTACCCACTTTCTAGAAAAAAATTCGATAAGGTGTGAAATTTTTCGACGGAAAAAAAAAATTTCAAATCGTTCTGGAAAAATTATTTTCGGTTGCGGGCGTCCATTACAATCATTTTTGGTGAATAGACATACCCCCGAAATCCTGCGCATTTTCGAGAAAAAAATTCAGTAAGGCCGGAACTTTGAACGTTAATAACTTTTTAACAAAGCCTCCATCAACAAATTGGTATTCTTGATTTTTGTCTTATTTTAGCCTCTAGAACCCCCCATTAAAATTTTCCCCAGGGGTGGCCGAACACCGTGTATATAAAATCTTTAATTATTAATATTTCGTTTTATAAAAATTTTCTACATGTTTTGTGAATATCAGTATATCTAATACTGATGTACAATATTGTGTAAAATTTATCGACAAGGAAGAAAATCGAAAATACACAATTTATAATCCAGAGAGAGTTATTTACTTCTCTGTACCAAACAAAAGTAAAATTAAGATAAAAGGATCGTTGTATTTGTTATGGCCACGTACGCGTTCGTTTCCATTCTCCAAGCATTTAAAAGCGAGCAACGTCGATTTTCCCCTGAAATACGAAAAAAACCTTGAAAGATGTACGATTCCTAGAGAAGATTCGAAACTCTGTACGCAAAGGGAGCGAGTTTTGTCATTCCATACTACGCTATGCCAGCCGGTGAAACGGGATGGGGTTTATTAATATCTTTCCTGAAATAGGCTCGCGAACGTGGAAGTCACTGGTGGCGGAATAAACTCGCCGGGAATATAATAAAGGTCTTTGGCAAAGTTTATCGTCGCCACCGATCTTGAACGAGGGAAAAAGCCATTGTCCAGTTCTTTGCTATTGCACGTGCCAACGTTGCGCCGGCCATTCTTCTTTCTATCCGTTTGTCGCGTTTCAGTTTATCGGCGTTTGTACAAACTGACACTTAACGCTTTCTCTTCTTTCTCGTTCAGTCTCTTTTATATCTATTCATCTTTGATGTTTCGTCGTTACTAAAGCTTTGTTCGTCAAACTGCGCTGTCTGCTGAACGATCGAGTCGTCGAAATGAAGGAAAAGAAAAACTTGACCAATTTCTCGGTTGCTTTTCGTCGAATCAGAATTTCCTTCATCCAGGCCCGAGATGCACGGTAATTTACATCGAAACGATGCTCGTTGGGACGAATCGCGTGATAGTTACCTGGTTCACAGCAGACGTTCAATCTTTTGTTTGGCAACGTCCCAAAAGGGACTCGCGCGCGCTCGTACGTAACCTTTTAACTGTTGCGTTCGTGCCCCGCAGACTCGATCGTTCTTACCTTTGCATATCGTGCCGGGCGCATTTTTATTGCTTACTTTAATAGCGTTCGTTATCTTTGCTCGCCAGTAGAACATTGTTGGCTGTTCCGTTCGAACCGTCCTTGCCGGCTTTAACGTGGAAACGCCTGTTCCGTGCAACGAACGATCACAATTCGAACCCTTTGCTGTGTTTCAGGAAGCGGAAGCAAGGACAGCAAAAGTGGAAAGGACAACGCGTCGCCGTGCGGTCCCTACGCCGGTGAGTTAATTTTTATTCATCGATTTATTTATCGGACGAGACGAAGACCGTAGAAAAAAGGAAGAGAAATTAATGAGAAAGAAAACGAAAGAGAAAGAACAAAAACGAATTGTAAAAAGCTCGAAAGTTAGTAAGCAGCGTACGTCTCAAAGCCATAATCTAAGGAGGCCCGATTAAATATTAATATAGAATATGTTTGCATATGTTTATCGTTTAAAATTTGAATAGCGAGTCGTCGTGAATTTTCTAAATTAAAAAAATTTAACGTAAACGACAATTTGGTTCGACGAGTCGCGCGTGAATATCGTCGACGTACACCGGGTGTTGAGCAAGTTTTCGTTTCGTTTCGTACTCGGTTCGAACCAACTGTCGCGTGATAGCCTGGAAGGACTCGGTTTCCAGGAGGGAGACACAGCTAATGGATATTTATAAACTTCGGTTGGCCAAGCTGGCGTTAAGAAACGGTCGAAATATTGTCAACGACGACCCACGACCAAGGACCAGAATAAGTTGAATCGCTTCGAACGTATGGTCGGTAGGTTTATGGATGCAACAACGCTAGAAACATATCGCATGACCTTGGCGACGATGATTTTCTCAGTATCCGTTTTAGTCCGATCCTGGCCATTTCCCAGCCAGATGGAACACTTTTTGGAGCAATGCTTCAGATTTTAATAATCTATACATAGTCACAGAAAAATTCGTACCCTTCCTCTTGTTGACTTCGAATGGTCAACTAAGCTTTCAAGACACCATGAATTTTTATTGTGAAAAACGATGTTATCACTGTTTTTTTTTTTATCAGAATCAACAACATACAAAAGAAGTGAAAACGATATAAAGATTGCAAGAATTAAAAAGTACATAAATGTTGTGGGCGTTGACCATGCACAGACATGTATAAAGGAAGTTAGGTTTTAATAGAGGGGGATGATTCATGACGGAGATATTATCCACGTGTTTTAAGGAAAATATAGCGGTAAGCGGACACGAGCTGCTAGGAGATTGAAATAGCAAGGTGCAAGGTATAAAAAGGAAGCAGGGGATTTGGAGTGAAATACAGAAATTGTGTAATCGATGATTAATCATTATAGTTGTCGTAGTTGCTGTTATTGATCGACTGCTACCAAATGTTGGTCCAATGGCGGTTCGTACGGTTACCTGGTCAGTCGTCGGTTCTTAATTACGAACGATCGCTTTACCTTCCAGTCTCTCTGCCAAGTTCTCTGTCTCCGCGACCGAATTTAGTGGACGCGCGTGCACTGCTACGCGTAACATAACTATAGAGTCATAGCGTTCGAAAATACCCGATCCCTCTCCACTGGCGCTAGGGTTTAGTTAGTGTCCGCCTCGCCTTGTGCCTGTATCTAACGGGTCTATTAATATACCCTAATTATTTTTGGAAACTACCGCTTACCGAGACAGCGATGCAGAGATCAAACCCTGTTTACAACGCGAGCGTGTTCCGTCGATCGAGTCGAAACACTTTCCCTCGATAAAATGCTACTACCGAATATTACAATCATTTCACGTAAGTGGATTCAACGTAATTCGTAAACGAGTGGACCTATATCATATTAATGCTACTCTATAAATATTAAAGTAGCCATTTTGTGATTCTGTCGTGATATTCGTTTAAAAATCATTCTTGATAAGTTTTGCTTTTAATCCAGGTAGATAGTGTCATATATTAAAAGTAATATACATTAACGAATACGCATGGCTGCGTCACGTTAATAATAATAGTCCATGAATACCGAAACGGTAATTTCGTGATTTTGCCATAAGATTCGTTTACAAATCATTTTTAACTCGCGAACGGTAATAGCCGACGAGCCATATTTGACGCTCGAGCCGTGCTTTTGCGACCCCCGGTAGTTTCACGTATAATTAAAAATGTTCCGAACAAGGTCGTGTTTGGACTCATTTTTTTGGGAAAAACCTCGCCCAATTTATTGGTAGCATTGTTACGAAGATGCAGTGGAAAATATACAAATTTTAATTTCCATTAGATTAGACTAATTATATACAATGGTATCTGGTTTTTATTTCTTTACCCATATTCAACGTTTAATTTCAACATAACTCCTCTGAAAGTAACTAGAAATTAAGTAGAAAGTTGCACCCTATTATTAAAGATTAAAAGTCGCACGTGATGGATACAAATTCGATAAAATAAATACGTCTGTTGTTTCTGTTATTATCAAATTCGATCGTACGTATCTTATCACTCTCGCCTGGGTCCATCGACCGCTCGAGACCACGGGGTCGTTCACGTCCAATAAATGTAAATAGTGGTGGGGATGATTCCCCGTCGCTCGGATCCTGTGCAAAAATATTCACTTGAAAACGGGCGCTCGAAAACTAGCAGTCGATTCGAAGGTAGAATTTCGACGGTACCGGAAGCATCGAAAGTTCAAGTTCCGGGATAGCCAATAGGAAGCTGCGCGGCAGAGATCAGACACACCCAAGTATCTGCGTCTACTAAACATTGTATAGCCGCACGCTATTGGTATTGATCCGTACGCATCGTTCTCTCGTTCTCACTCGCTTTACATCTCTCCGCGGGTCTGTCTTCCCTCCTTCCTTCCTTCCGTCCGTCCGTCCATCTGTCGTTTCCGCATCCGTTCGTTAGTCTTGGCGAATACCCCGATACGAACTCTGTTACTACAAGGTTCGAACGTTCCTGCATTCCACGGGGAACAGACAAAATCGATCCTGCGAACGATAGACAATAGGACTGGGATCTTTTCCGATCTACATACTGTAATTCCTCGTTTCAAGACCAACAATCGGGACCGCCATATTGCTCTTTAACAAGTTCACTGCCAAATCCAAACCGTATAATATTCTGTAAAAGTAAAACTTTGATTTTAGACTAGTGCAAGCTAACCTAAACTTTGTTTCAGTAGTTATTTTCGTAACATTGTTGACATTCACAAATTCTATTCAAACTTATTTCTTTATTTTTCTAGTATCATAATGGTAAATCCTGTCACCCATACGTGGGCAGACGAGTCTAGAGTCTACGTGACAATTCGTTAAACTAAAATAGAATTAGTTAAAGTAATTTTCAGATACACGTTGAGTGAAGAGTTAAGACTCTTAATTCTTAAATATAGAATGAATTTAGATGCAATAGTTGTTGAGAATGAGGCTTAAGACGCGTAAGGAAGGTTAGGGAAAAATGGCGTCTGGAGAGACGGCGTTGGAGAAAGAAAGTTGGCTGTGTGTACGAACGGTAGACACATAGCGTCGGTACGAGAGCGGACGCTTATCATTTTAGTAAAATAACGAGAATATTGCAACATCGATTAAACATTGAACAAATATCTCTATATATTAATAACAAAAATCTTTTTCTTTTTGTTTCGATCGTAATATACTTAGTTTTAGTTACGTTATTCTTCTTTCTCGCCTTACTTTTTACTGATAGAAACGCCCCTAAAAGAATTGCAATTAGTAGCCGAACACCCTGCGCAGCGTTCCGTGAAAAGCTGTCACGGCTCGTCGCTTTTTCAGAGAAGGTAGTCAAATTTCATCGCAGTTATCTTTCCAGCCGTCCACCTTTGTGTGCAGGGTGAGTCACCTATCCCGACACCCTAAAATTACTCGACAACTGTTTACGCCAACAAAAAATCTTGCGGAAGCCAGCGTAACAATCAGTTTTTTGCTATCTTGCATTTTTATCGGGATACAAAAGATCAAAACATATTCGATTCTTTATCAAATGATCTATATGTCATACAGATACCTAACAAACAAAATGTATCTACGCAACGATAGTATTATTCCGATTAATCGCCATTTTTTCCAATACCTGTCCATTTATTTTCGTACTCGATAAAATACAATACGACATGGTACAAAGGGGGATATTTTCCCGATTGATTGGCAATGTGTCGAGGTGTGGGAGTCAGGCGACATCGTCTTGCGTAAGACTCGGGGTCAATAACGATGGACAGTGCGAGGCCAGCGAGGTACAGTTAACGCGGGAGGGTGGAAAAAAAAATTACGTGACAACTTCGCGGGGGGAAAGCTCGCGACAATTTCTCCGTGGAATACTGTACCCTTGGTGTCTTGGATTGGCGCGAGTGTAGGTGCCGGTGAACGATGTGCGTGTTCAGCAACAGTTAGAAGCGATGCACGATCGTCACGATCGCCTTGGCATACTGTCGCCATGTCAGGGCCGAGTCACGGCCAAGCGGCGTCTAGCGTGAATAGTCGAGCAACGTGGACCGTTCTCCGAAAGAATCCCTTGACCGTGTTTCGATCGTACAGCCCATGCACGATGGAGCTCTGCTGGAAGCTGACTGTTTTCCTCGCGAAAAAGATCTCAAATCGTGCATGATCGAGGCAGTAGCGCAGTTAAAGGACTGGATCTTAACCCTTTACACTCCTATGTCGAGTGTGATTCGACATCAATTTTGATCTCGGGAGCACCTTCGTCAAGTCACACTCGACATTTTTTCAAGCCCAAACCAAAGAGATATCGTACACTTGAAAATTACAAAATACGACAACAGTGTAAATAAAACAGGTATTTTAACAGGTAAATTTCAAATAAAACGCTTAAAGGCGTTGGGAGCTGCTGGTAACAAAATTGAAATATAATTCGGAGTGCAAAGGGTTAACCTATTTCTTCCATGAGCCACAATGTTCCTCGAAATAAGCAGCTAGTATCAAGCTTCATTAAATAGAAGGAAAGGAAAAAAATGTTCAACTTACGAATCACGTCTGAGGTGCATTTTAAGAGTCATTACTTAAGAAAGCTACTTAAGTGTCGAGCATCTTTACTTGAAGTATATACAATTGCAAGGACGTTTTCTCTTTGATTTTCCTTTTTTTTTGGTTCTCTTTCATTAGGCAACTCTAAGACAGCTCAGGTCGGTTGATCAAGTGGCGTTTCTTTGCTGGTTGTAGGAAAACGAGAAAGATAGTAGGAACACAAACGAAGAATACGAGTAGACCATACAATGGACTTTCGAGACCCAATTTGACTGCAATACCAACCTGAAAATTCGTAGGTGATTTTGGCGTTCTTGCACATGAGTTCTGGCGCTTCGTATAAATTCGGGGATTCGAGGAAGAAGTAGTCGATTCTAATAGTCTTCTGCAATAATCAATGTATTCCATTGAAATTCAGTTGTGAAGTAGAGTTCATGGATACCTTCAAAAAAGTATTAGACAACATTTCCATACAGCGTCAAACAAATTGATTAAAAATCAAATCTTTAATGCTGAAATTTTTCGGCGAAAAAAAAAGATTTCAAATCGTTCTGGAAAAATTATTTTCAGTCGCGGGGGCCAATTTCAATCATTTTTGGTCAATAGACACATCCCCGAAATCCTACACATTTTCGAGAAAAAAAAGTCCTTACTGAAAGTATAATGTGAGGCCAGAAATGTTCTTTAAAACATCATAACTTCTGAACGGATTGAAGGATTTTCATTTTTCAAACGACAAACAACGCGTATTTTAGTGGAGAATATGTAGAAAATCTAACAATATTGAAAAAATTGTTCCTTGACCCCGTAAAGTGAGAAAAATCCCATAAAAATGGCCCAATTTTCTAACAGCCATAACTCCTACAATAGTGAATGTATTTCAATGAAACTTATTTCTGATGTAGAGCTCATGGGTACCTATATAAAAGTATTATACAACTTTTCCGTAGAGCGTCAAACAAAATTACTAAAAATCAAAAACGACTTTCTAAGAAAAATCGACAGATGGTAAGTGCCTAAATTTTTCAGCGAAAAAAAAAAATTTCAAATCGTTCTGGAAAAATTATTTTCGGTTTCGAGGGTCAATTATAATCATTTTTGGTGAATAGACATACCTTCGAAATTCTACGCACTTTCGAGAAAAAAATTCCTTACTGAAAATTTCATGCGTAAATGGAAAGAATCGTATCTCCTGAACGGATTGGAGGATTTTAATGTTTCAAAATGGAAGCATCACGTATGTACAGCTTTCATTCTATTAAAAAAAGAATAGAATTTGTGTAATTTCATTTTCTGTCTCACTTCCTCTTGTGTTCATTTCTGTAACCTGTTAGTAATATCGCGAGTGACACGAAAATGATATTGGGACTCTAAAAAATACATTGGATGTAAGGTTTACTCGTACACCTCGTCTATGGTAGGAGGGTAGAAAAGGAAAGGGCCTGCTAGTGGACTCATCAGTAAGGCTTTCTTATCATACATCTCAAATCTCCAGAATGGGTTAAACCTAGCGCATACAGAGTCTCGAGTACCCTAAGATACTTTGAGTCAACAGTTCTTAAAGCCAGGAGACTTTGGGACCTTTCGCGTAATATGATAATACTGTTTGAAATCGATCAAAAAAATCAAAAGGTTTTGTATGTATTTTGATCGACGCTGACGATGCAAATCTTTGCTGTTGCGTTCGTGGATCCCTGTACGGACCTCCCTTCTTTAGAAAAACGTTCGCGTGAAAGACAGCAGATGAAACGTGCGGATAGACCTCCTGTAACGCGAGCCTCGATCGCTCGATTGGTCGTTTTTTTCGCTGATCGCATGCACGGCGCCTAGGAGCACTCGAAGGGTTACGCTGGTCGTCTTCGACGTGTAAAAGAGTCCATCGAACGATCCCGAACCGGGCGGAAGGTAATTTCATCGAATCGGGCATGGATCGCGACGCCGTCGATCGTGGCACCGACGTCCGTCGATTCGAAGTGGCCGGAAAGACCGTCGATTATTATGCAGGCAGCAGACAATTGCCAACGCTTCCCCTATTAACATATAGCGAGAGTAAAAACGTGGCTGAAATACGTGACAGCCCTTGGCGTAGCTCCGATGGTTTAATGACTGAGATGACTGTAGTTTAAACGGGTATTCGCATTCGGACAGTCGAGAAGATCGATTCATCTTTTTTCTCGCGTTTCCTTAAATCTTAGTACATCGAGAATACGTTCCTCAGACATCGTCAGAAACATGGTCGAGAATCTAGGGTTAATTCTTTTTTTCTTTATATCATTGACTAATTCGTTACCAAATTTGTTATATTTTATTTCTTTTTTCTCGCGTTTCCTTAAATCTTGGTACATCGAGAATACGTTCCTCAGACACAATTGGAAACACGGTCGAGAATCTAGGGTTAATTCTTTTTTTCTTTATATCATTGACTAATTCGTTACCAAATTTGTAATATTTTATATCCAAGTATTTTTGGTATTACCATCTTTGCAATTTGTGAAGTATTGCTACTATGTATCGAAACAAAGCTATTGTCGCGGGGCATACGTCGAGTTCTGTGTTTCCAAACATACGTGACGTTCATATTAATTGATATTAGAAGCCCGGCAAAGTGCCGTGCATCCAAGTGGCCGAATATTAAAGCAATGACAAAATTAGACGTCGCGTCGTTTGAGATTTATTTTACGGGAAACATTGCAAATTGAGCAAATAAGCTTTACGTTCATATTAACCAGACTCGTTGATTTAACGTGGCGTAGAATTTAATTACTTTATTCTTTGTCACAGATAAAATTATACATCAGCAAAATGGATATGAATGAATTATACATCTAGAACTGAAACTGTTGTAAATTAAATAAATAAGTTTTACGTTTATATTAACTAGACTCGTTGATTAATTAGTTTACTCCTTGTCACAGACAAAATTATTAATCAACAAAGTGAAAAACAGTTTCAAGAACTGAAACTGATATTATAGCTATTTTCAACCCCTGATGTTGAGGCACGCAATGAACATTTTGAAAATTTTCTTTAGTCATCCATAACTCGAAAAGTAAGGCGTATACGACACTTTTTTATTATTTTAGTCCACAGATTTAACTTCTTAAGTATTTACATTCCTCAAACAAAGAAAAAAGAAGTGCAAAGTAGTAACATTAAAGTAACAACAGCCTCGTCACAGAGTTACGGTAATAAAAGTTTTCAAATGCAAATAACACGAAAAATTTTGAATATCTACCCCCAGTGTGTGATTTATAAAGAGGAGGAAGCCCTGCTATGTGTCCTGAAAGTTCAATCGAAATCGAAGACTCGAAATTGATGGCTTTCATATGGGCCTTACCCGTACTTGCTTGGGCCCCCAAAAGCCATAAAAATGCAAACTTCTCTATGGTTTGCCATCTACCAAATCTTCCGTAACTTTGTAATTTTTGCAAATTTTACTTTAACCTAAATTTTACCTAACCCAGACCTCTACTTGCTTGGGCCCCCAAAAGCCATAAAAATGCAAACTTCTCTATGGTTTGACATCTACCAAATCTTCCGTAACTTTGTAATTTTCGCAAATTTCACTTGAATATTTTCACCCCTTCCTGTGCTTTAACGAGTCTGACTCGTGATGAAGATTTTGGCCCAACCATGAATATCACGAATTAGACTTGCGAACAGAAAGTCGGCCCAAATGTAAACATCAGGAGCCAGGCTCGCGGACAGCAAATCACGATCGTGATTGAGTTTTAGTTCCTATCAGTACGCCACAAGAGTCGGTCACGATTCTTATAATCTCTGTTGCAAAGCAGTTTAGTATCAATTGTGGGAGGAATTAGGTTGACTAATGAATGAGCCCCTTTCTTATTTAACAATATAACGTATATATTTTAATACAATTCTCACCACGTGCGCATCACGCTCTCTTCCATACAAGGGACTTCACCCGTCGTCCCTCTCGCGCACCAGCGCTGCCAACACCCATTCTCCTTCATACCACACTCACTCACCAGGCATACCACTCAATAAAAATAACTCCACATCAATTTGGTCTGTTTACCGCGCGTTGACGCCTATAGTTTGGGCCCGGATTTCGTCGAGGTAAATGTCACGTGAAGGGGTTAAGGGGCCATTCTGAAAACCCTCAAGCATTGAAAATAGATACAAATTTCAATTTTTCAATCCGTCAAAGTGGTCTGCCCCCGTTAAAAAGAATTTGGTGACTTTTATCGGTTTCAGCGGCCGAATGCGGGGACGCGCCGAAGAAGAAAGGATTCTTCAAGGGTTTCTGGAAGAGGTCGCGCCATTACTCGCTGGAAAACCAATAGCCCAGGTGTGGCAGGGTGATGCGCCACCAACGACAGAGACACGCGCCGAGGCAACAGCACCCTTGTCGGCAGCAACGCATCGCTACGAGCGCTCTGGCGGACAGCACTTTCTGCTGCATCGTCCAGTAAAGCCCCAGGTGTGTCAGGTTCGTGACGGAACCGGGAACAACCAGCAGACGGCAGGGCAAACAACGTTCGCTCGCGTTCCTTCGTCCAATCTCGTCGACCTTTTTAGTCCGCCAGATCGGCGACCACGACGGGGACAACGACGACGACGACGACCCCCGAGTCCAAGCAACAAGTACGACAGAGCCCGTGGGGTAAATCATATTTTTGCCTATTTTACGTTTCACTTCGTTTCTCCTTTTTCTTCGTTCACGTTTCTTTGATCACCCCCCTCCTCCTGGTTTTCGCTTGATTTCGCGGCGAGCCGTGTTCACTGCTCGGCGAATGCTCGGTGAGCACGCGTCGAGACTTTCGGTACGTTTTTCTTTTCCCTCGGCTCGAGGCTCGATCGGGTCTCGATTACAACGGAGCTTTTGCATTCCCGAGAGTCACCGGTCAGGTTCGTAACTAATCTCATCGGAACGTGGAAGGTTCGATCAGTCGATTGGAACGGGCGGCTACTCGATTTAGCAAACGCCCGAAACAAGGAAGAAAGAAAAGAGAAAAAAAAAATGAATAGAAAATGCAATAATCGGCTTTCTTGACGGCGGTCGCGGCCGGGTCGATCGATCGATCGATTCCCGACCGACCGGCGCGATCGCGAGCACCGAGCTCTAAGTGTTTCCTTTCGTATTAATTTTTGTATTTAACGCGTCGACGAAATACGTTCTAGAGAGTGAGTAATAAAATATAAAATATCCTGTATTCAAAGTATTGGAATATTTCATATACACTTGCGTTAGGCGGCGTGTGACGACACCAGCAACGGGGGTGAAAGGGCGTAGGAAACACGTAGAAAATGCGCGCGCGAGTGCAATCGCGACGAACAAAAACAAAAAAAAAAAAAAAAAAAATTACAGTGATACCGCACGACGCATTATTATCGATAGAATTGTAATTTCCCGGATACGTTAACGCGTTACTGTATTCATATTATTTTCATTACGCCAGCGCTGTTATTGTTGTTGTTACTATTATAATTATTATTATTGCTATTATTATTACCGATAGTAATATTATTCTTCGTATTATTATTACTATTATTATCATCATCGCGACTATTAGGTTGTGCAATGAGTCTCGTTACTGGTGATGTTTTATGTAATTATTTCTTTTAAAATTTTACAACGAACGAAGTAAATAAAAAATCGGATAGTCGAAGATCAGGTAGTGAAACGTCCCGACCAAATTGCAATAATTTTTGTCGCACCGTTCGAGACACGATCGTGGTGGAAAAGAACATTTTTTGGGAACACGTTTCTTCGGTATGGCCGATTATGAACGGACTTATTGCACAACCTAATGCATGTTACTAGCACCAGTGCCGCTATTACGGAGAATATTATTTTTCTTACAACCTCTATCGCTATTATCACTATCTCTACTGTCGTCATCATCATTATTATTATTTATTATTATTTATTATCATCATCATCAGTACCGTTGTTGTTGTTATTACGATCATTATTATCATCATTATCGATACCGTGGTACTACTACCAGAAGCATTATATACGTACGCAGAGACGCAGTTACACGCCAATACGTGCGCACGAATAACGAATTATCATTACGAAACGATAACAACTATTATTACGAATTAACGAATGAATTAATTACTATTATTGGTAATCGGTATTATTATTAATAATATATATAGACAACTGAGATCATATAGCTAATAATATAACGAATGGTGGCGATAATAACGGTAAACTACAAAGTTATATTTAGAATAATTTTTGGATTCGACGTAGCACGTTCTCCTCGGATTTTTGACAAAGTCGATCGTACGGAGAGTCGCTTGAATGCCAAAGACTGTCTCGCGGCGTGTCGAGCTCGACCTGTACAGAAATATATTTATCGTTTCTTGCTGTTCGTTAGATAGATCGACCGATCTATAATTGCGATATTCTACGGTCCATCGGACCAGCACGTACTCGTGCACGTTTAGCGACGAGTCGGACAAACGTTTCTCGTTTCCCCCCTCCCCCCCTTTTTCACAATTTTTCTACCGCGAATCGATCGACAACGCGCACGAGCGACTTCGGTCCCGTTCGTTCGATTCTTTCCATTCACTTTCTCCGTTCGCGTCCGACGGGGAACAGTATTCCCCGCTTAAGTGCAACGATATTGGTCCCGGTCACACGCACGAAGTAGGAGGATCTTTTGTGTTTTGGACCAAGAATAAATAACAGAGAATACGAGATAACAAAATAAATCAGTCATCGATGAAAATTAAAATTTACATATTTTTTTACTACCTCTTGATATCTTCCGGGCTAAACTGTGTCTAAAAGCGACTACTACGTATAATATATAGTCGATAGATACAAAAATAAATGAGTTGCGTTAAATATAAAATGAAAACCGCACGGAACGTATGGACCAACCTGATACACAAACGAGGGGAGAATTTGTTGCATAGAAGCTGGGAATACAGGTGTAGTTTACGCGTTTAGAAGTCGACGGGAAACTCTCGACGGTAGACGGATGAAAATAAGAACGAGGAACGTCGGTCGATCGCGAAGACAGTTTCGTGTAAACGCGATCGTTGCTTTATTCCATTGCGATTTTCTTATGGTGTAGCGCGCGTTATGGTCTTGCTACAGCGTGTGTACAGTGAGTCCTGTAAATAACGATTGCGTGGTGATACGTAAAAGAAACGCGAAAAGGATAGACGAGTTGTTCCGCGATCATCGTTCGTTTCGAAGATGGCATCGGGACGGCGAGAATGGGCATTCGAGAGAGAGTAATGGCGGCCAACGCGCCGCGCAACGAGAGCTACGGAGCCACGAGAATTTGGTCCGCTTTGTCGTACATCCGTTGGTACGCGACACCTACCTGATAAGACTCTTAGTTAAAGGTAGTTTAATAAACATTAATGCTACTAAAATTTAATGCCAATTAAACGAACGTTCGTAAAGCAACATTCGCCGAAGGTGGTATCTCATTTTTACGCGCAACACCTAAACACGCACCCAATCGCGAACAGTCTTCCCGAATTTCTTTCTTTCTCGTGGTCGAGTTCGTCGGGAAACAGACACCGCGGATCGTCGTGCAGTAATGATTCCGGGGGGGATATAACCCCCCCCTTGTAGCCCAACGAAGCGTGAAAGACGACATTTAAAAAACGATACGAGCTGTGGAGTGCCGGTGACGATTCGTACGGAAAGACAATGACTTCTTTTTTTTTTCTCTCGTTCGTTCCTCGCTGGTCCTTTTCTTCGGTTGTCGGCCAGGAGCGTCGACGATACACCGCTGCGTGCAAATGTCCGTCGGTGTCGAATTTCACCTACAGCTGTACGAAAGACGATGCCTCGTCTCGAGAATCATTACTGTGCTTCTTCCCGGCGTCTCTCGTTTTTTTTGGGGAAGCGAAACGACGAGCCGTGGGTTTCGTTCGACGTCGGATAGTGCGATCCGTCGCCCGACAGGTGGCGCTCGAGGAACGGACAGGGGAATGGGGAAGTTGGTCGGAACGTTTCGAAAGGACGACGACGCAAGCAGGACATTAACGATGCGATTAATACGTAACGAGTTCGGAGATCGTAGATAAGTAGAAGCTAAGCACCAAACCGTACGCCTTACACAGAAGAATTCACGGTTTGAGGATGGCCGAAGAGGAGCTTTTCTTCGAGAAGATTGAAACGGAACGGGGATTCATATACGTATAAACACGTGTCTTCTAAAAAGTAATACGGTGAAGGTGACTCCAAATGACGAGTGCACGATCGAGAGTGCGACAACGGAGCGGGATGAAGTGAATGATCGAGTGAAAGAGAGAAAGAGAGAGAGAAAGAGAGAGAGAGAGATATGCCTTTTCAGAGAAGAGAACGTTTCAACCGTCGGGGAAAGAATGTCGACAATCAACGGATGAAGTTACGCTCGATTCGTCAACGTCTCGACGTCGATCGAGATAGTCGAAACGAAACGCACAGATTGTTGTTTCAGATTTGTCGCCATGTAATTTATTTTTTTAATCCTAGTCGTTCCCTGCGCGTTACAGGCTCGTGGCACAAAACGGTTTGGAGGCATTTTCACGCGACGCGCTTCAATTATCCACCAGCAGTCTGCTTAAAAGAGTACGATGTAACGTTTTTATTTTTATCTTTTTTCTTTTTAAACAAAAAAAAAAAAATTACAAAAAAGAGAGAAAAGAAGCGGAAGGATCGAGACGATTTTATTGCACGTGTTCTCAAAACCTCACTTAGGGCTAGTTTACAATATCTGGCGCCATTACGACACATTTCCTCTTCTTTTTTTTTCGAATAACTTGTTACAAAAATATTTTACGTACGACTTACTCGTTCTATAAATCTAGTTATCATTTACAATATTTACCTGCAAGGGTTACATTGACAATAACTAATATTATCAACCTTCTTTCTTTCGATGCTCCAACCTATTTGGAGCTTCAGCTTCTCTAACTGCTCTCGTTAGATTAGATTTTCTAATGTTAGGAGACTGACTATTGTTATTTCAGTTTAAGCTCTTTGTTACCTTTCATTTAAGTCTGACTGTTGGGAATACGGTACTTCAGCCATGCTGTTAGAATTATTGTTATTATTATGGTCATCACTATATGAACTATATATGAGCAAGGTTCTTGATTTTTCTTCTCAATAACACCTTTGTATAGACACCTGAAGGTTGCTTTTCCATCTCCTGTTTCTAGTTTAGCTTTGCTTACCCCTCTAATTATGTTGTTGATTTAAACTAATAATTTCCACGCACTAGGTGAATTTAAATTTTCTTCAGGAGTTGTTCTATATTCCAGCAAGGCAATTTATTTTTTACAGTTTGTACCATTCTTTCCATCGAGTAATTGCTTCTCAGATTATACAAACTAGTATGATCGATGACCCAACCCTTTAGTGGACCCTCCACTAAGATTAGCTCCAAGGGAATTTATTATTTACTAATGCTATTTCAATGAACCCTAAACAGTAGTCTACTCTCGTTTGCAGTGTTTGTAACCACGGTATATCATGCAACAACAAAGGCTGTTTTCGATTCATATTAGGGTATTTGTGCAAGTTTCACATTGTTCTATTTTATTTTTAACACTTTGACTGCCACGTCATATATGGGTGACAGAGAACTTTTAACAGTGGAACTAAAACAATGAATTCTCAAGTTGAAATGTTAAAAAAAATCAATTTTAGTAGGCTTCGTAAATTTTAATGAGGTTAGAAAAGTAAAATCAGAGTTTTGGTCTCGCAAACAATTTTAGGATTTTAGACTGGCAGTCAACGGGTTAATGTCAAAATTAGGCCAGTATAGAGCACTCCTGGAATCCTTTGCAGGGACTGTTTCATCTACAACAGGATGTTAAATCCCCCCTCTTTTCATTTTATGGACATCGACCGTGATGTATCGCCTATTGGGGCTTGTTCGAAGCTAGCTAGATGTTATTTTATCGCCTATGCCTTGGATCACACCAAGGATCATCAGTCCATAAATTGTCGAGATCCAAACTCGGGCAAGTTTCTGACTCAGGCCTCGAAGTTGTTCCCCGATCCACCTTTTGCACATCCTGTCGAAGGTTTTCCTCCAACGGAGCTCCTTCAATTGTGTTTTGGGAGTGGTTTTCGTAGACTTCGTCCCGGTGAATGCTAGGATATCAGCTAAAATGCAAGACTCGAACGTCCACACCATTTTCTCTTCTTGTTCCTCGGACACTTTGACGATCGTGATTTTCTTATTTTAGACTCTACGTTTCAGTTGACTTTTAACACCGCGTTATGTTAAGAGCGGAAGAATCGAGACGATAGCTTTTATTGCACGTGCTCTTAACCGATTTGCTGCTCGCTTAGGGCTAGTTTGCACGCGACGCCTTGAGCCTAGAACCGATCGCAAGAAGATGAACGACGCGTGGACGAAAGTGAACCGGAGAAGAGGAGTCATAGACGGGAGATTCGATCGAAACTTCGCATAGTTTAACGATTTTACGGGTAGAATCGAGAGCGTGAGGGTAAAGCTTACCTCTTCAGGGATACCGGCACACATGTGTACATTTAGTTCGTAAGTTATTTTAAATATTGTAACATGGAAATAACCATCTAGTATTGTGAATAAATATTCGTAATTAAATTTCCCCCAATGATATAACACGGACACGTCGTTGCAATATTTATACGGTTCGTTACGGGTGCGATATTGGTTTCGGTTTCTTTTTCTCTCACTTCCGGGCGTAACACGATTCGTCCCTGAAGGGGGCGGATGGCGATCGACGAGTCGATTCGAGCAACGGGAAAGGTTTAGTACAAAATTGATAGCTTTACCGCTTGAAAGAAGAAGGAACGGGAGAAAACGATCAACTTTTGTAAGACTGTATCGCGTTTCGATCGATGAGAGCGGCCAAAAGAGTCAGACGAATAAAATCGACATTACACCGATCGATTCGTAATCCGAAACTACATCGAAATTCTGTCGATAGAGTTAAACGTTTGGATATGTGCCATTTCGTTCGTTGGAACCCTCTTTTTGGTGTTTCGTTTCTCGCGCGATTCGCGACTTCCGGTCCGGCGTCGGGCAGATTTCATTCCCGAACGACGAATAAAAATTTTCGAATCGTTAAAAATATTCTGGCAAATTATTCGATCGATATATTTTAAATATAGTTTGACTCGTTGTAGTTCGATACAAGTGGGACGATAGAGTTCCAAACTCAACCATCGAGACTTTAATATTTTTATTTCTATTTTTTAGGGGCGAGATTCTCCGATCCTCGAATTTTCTTCGCGATTTTTTGTTAGATCTTTGTAATCTAAACTCCGCCACTGACCACCATAAATAGAACGAATAAAACGTTTGTATTCGTTATTCGCGAATAAAATTTGCTCGATTCTGGTTCTGGTCGAACGCGGGATGGTCTCAAGAATCGGTGAATTTGTTTCGTGCGAACCGAGAACGATTAGAATGGCGGACGTAAGATACGTTGATCGATAGAAAATACCAGAAATGAACGTTTCGTTCGCGACCTTTTGAGATAACACTTTTTAGAATGGAATCGATCTGCGAGTAAGCGAGAGCGATTTTTATGTAAATCTTCTCCGTAATTTTGTAAAAAGTTTTATTTGACGTTTTAATCTACCAATAAATTAAATAAAAGTTTATAAAATAAAGTAGACGGCACTAATATATTTGTATGTGTGTTGGACAACTGTAATACTTGTCCATGTTTTCTCGCGCGTAGGAAGGAACATACAACGTGTATATCAGGTAAGTGCAAAATTATAATAAATTTATTAGAAATCTTAGAGGATTATTTTTGATAAAAACTCGTAGGGCAGGTATTAAGTTTTGTCTTCCAAATTTGTTTTACATTTTTTAAGAATTTTATTATACTTACAGATATTGTATGTAAAACTTAACTACTGCAGTAACATTTTCGTATCGTTTTCAAATTTCTCACCTTTTACGATTATTCGATCGACCTAAATAAATGGATATTTAACAATTTTCGTGATGTTTGAATAGTAAAATCAATAGTTTACAAGATACTTGGAAACAAACTCGTAAAACTTTACCTAGTTTTCAAGATGGCGGCGATCCCTCGATGTTTCGTTCCGCAGGACTCTTTATACAGAGTATCCCAGTAATCGTTGTACAACTGTAAAGCAAGTGAATTTTCATGCAAAAACAAATCGAATATGTGTAGAAAAACTTTTTTGTAATTCCTTCCATTATCGAGGGAAATAACTTTGAAAATCTGCAGGATGTGGCGCGCGTGACTAATTGTGTTTCACAGCCACGGCTCTGTACGTTGGAACGTGACAATATTTCGAGTAATTTAATAAAATTATACTTGGAAAGTGTCGTATGTAATCTTCAGCGTAATTTTTTAATGGTTCTAGCGTTAAAAACTATCTTTTTTTTTTATTAGCCATTTTTCCGGAAATTAAAAAAAGTCACAGAAAATTGGCCTCCTTACCTGAAGTACGCTCGTTAATGCGACATTTCGAACATCCCCCACGTTGCACTTGTATGATCGCAAAAGTTGAACGAGTACCGCGCGTTTAATCGCGCCTGCGAACGGAAGAAGCGTTGCGTTTATCGAAAGCTCGGCACGACCGCGACATCCGGTGGTAAAGCAAGGAATTTCGCTACAATCTCTATCTACGCGCGCGGCTCTAGAGCGCGCCAATTCGAATGAAAACAAAAAAACGACTTATTTGCACCGCTTTATACAAATTTATTATTCTCTTAAACATTAATTGTTGTTACGGTTACGAAACTTGTTGTCGACGTATGCAAAAGAAACCTCGAGAAGAAGGTGTTTTATATCGGTTTTACAATGTTATATCTAATATTTCAACCGACACAAGTGTACTCTCCTCATTCTCTCGCACTCTCTCGTTCTCTCTTGCGCCTTCAATTTTCCCCCTTTCGCCTTCCATCTTCCCGGGAGCATCCCCGTTGACCCCCTTCTTCGCGTCTCAGAGGCAGTAGTTCTCGCGCGTTATATGAACTGTGTCGTGTCTCGTATCCGTTCTATTGCTTGCTTCCACTTTTCGTTTTCGTTTCCCGTTCGCGTCCAACTCTCGTTTATTCCCGTGTTTCGCCGTCTGGTTTACGCGGTCGATTCCGCGAGAAAACTGCAATCCGTCGAACGGAACACGATGGGTGGATTAATATATATATGTATATATATATATACGAATACGTTCACCGAAAGGAATCCAAGAAAAACCTAAAAAAGCGAGACCGATGCGAATAGTTTGGACGACGCCTGGGGGGTTACCTTTGATTATAATTATTATTTCAATGTTTATTCCTTTCTTTGTTATCAATAAAAATCGTTACATAGTAGTTTGGGTTGCTGCTTGACGCCAGACGAATCGACAAGCAACCAATTATAGTAATAGTAGTAGCAGTAGTATTATAGTAATAATAAGTGGTAGCGGTATCGTGTCGTGTCGTGTGTATGGGTGTGCGACTATCGAAGTGTGTGTCCTCTCGGTTTGTAACGTGTTAAACGAGGCTCTGCGCAAGTCGAACGAGAAACGTCCACGCGGCCGGCGAACGATTACCCCCCCGTTTGTTGTTGCTTCCCTCGAAAATATTTTCGTTTCCCTCGTTCCGAGACGGCGTGACTCGATACGCGTTCACGTTTCGCTTACCGGCAACAACAGAAATTCTTTCGTCGAGCGAACGAGAACCAGGTAAATTAGAATCGGTAATAAAAAACGGCCAAATCGCGCGTGAATTTGAAAGAGGTTTTTCGTGGCCGAATCGAACGGATTTCCATACGTACCAAGAGAGAGAGAGAATCGTCGCCACCGTGCGGGAACACACACGCCTCGTCTATTCGACTTTCGCAATTCCGTGTGGATGTGTTGTCTTTGTATATGCGTGTCGCGCGCGCTCGCGTATACCATTCTGACGTTACGCCTTTCGCGACCCCTCTCATCCCTCTTATCACGCCCCTCCCGTTTTCGTATTTTTTTTTTTCTTTTTTTTTTCTTTTCTCTGTTTCTCCCTCTTATCGATAAAAGTCTCAGCAATTATGACACATCGTTCGTCGTTTTTATTCCTCTTACACATAGCAATAATAAAGACAGTAAATAGCTAAAAGGACTGTATCGATTTTCGGGGGGAGGGGAGGCGGCCAAAGGACTGCGGCCAATCCGTCCCGTTTCACCCGCTGCCGCACGCTCGCCTGCATATCGTTTTATAATCGTCATCGTCGCCCGTAGTGTCGTTATCAACGCCGTTCCGGTCGCCTTCGCGACCATCCTCTCCGCTCTTTGTCGTCGGCGTCCATCATCCCTCTACCCGCGCACTCTTGCACACCTTCCCAGACAACCCTCTTATCTCTTCTTTTCTTCATACCCTCTCGTTTTTGATCCTCAGAATCGACTCTCTTCCTCCGACGCGGCTCGTCGACGCTTCGGTTTTTTTTTCGCTGCTCCTCTCTCTGCCTCCCCCTCGCTCTTTCGCTCGCTCCCTTTCTCTCTCTCTCTCTCTCTCCCTCCCGCACAAACTCGCCGGTTCACTCCCTCGAGCACACTCGTTACCACTTTTACGCCCTTTTTTTCTGTCTTTGACTTCCATTTTACTCTCGATTACTCGCTATTTCTGGCGCTCGCTGTCTTTCACCCATCCTTTCGTTCTCTACAAAAAAAGACTGTAAATCTAAACGCAATAGTTTACTATTACTTATTATCGTTATTTCTTATGTTTAATGCATGCTTCGTGTGTGTATGTGTGTTTGTGTGTGTGTGTTTGTTGTCCCATCGTCTCGACGAACCGACGCTCGTCCTATCTTGCTCGTGTGAGAAAAAAAAATCAGTACCGTCGTTTTTATCCCTGTCGTGCGATTTGTGTGCGCGTGGTTTGCAAAACTACCCCGAACGTAATTGAAATCCTCTTTGAAATGTCGTTATTGATGATGTAGCCGATACCGTTTCGCGAACGGAAAAGAAGAAGAAGAAGCGGAAAGGAAGAAACGAACGTTTATATCCGGTCCATCGATCCGTGGCTCGGGCACACAATTATCCGTGTATCGCAAATCTATCGACGATGTGTGTAACACGCGTGTGTGTGTACGTGTGCCGGTGTGTTACTTTGTGTGCGTATTACAACTGTTCCAGAGATCGCGCGCGCGTTTGTTCCCGAATGTCGCGTCAAATCGAAGAGGAGAGAACGACGACTGGAGTATGATAGCTGTTGCTGTTGTGGTTGTTGTTGCTTCTCATCGAGTGTCGCGCGGCAAGCTTGCGGCAGTTCCGGCGCGACTCGTGCGGCATGACGCATTCCATTCGCTGTTCAGTAAAATAATCGATCGTATCGTTTAGTATTAATATTAGATATTTGTGTTGGGTCCCAGAGGTTACTGAAACAGAAAAACCGGAACACGTCCCACGTTAGTATCGTACGTGCGATCGAACCGATCGACTTCAAGGCAGGGTTTTCGTTTCTTGCAATGAAAAATCGACTCCCTTTTTTTTTTAATTATTTGCATTTTTCGTAAGCTTAATTTGTTAGCAATTTATGTCGAATTTAATGAAAAAAAATGTGTCCTGATTAAATTAGAAATCGTGTTTTAGCGTAAATGTCGACATGACGATTTTTTATGCAAATATGTAGAATAAAAGTTATCACATTTTGGAGAGAACACTATACGGGTCGAGATAGTGGAATTTAAAACTTTATAGAAGACAATTAGCTTTAACCATTTTGAACTTATACTGGGTGTTCGGCCACACATGGGAAAAATTTTAATGGAACATTCTAAAGGCTAAAATAAGACGAAAATTAAGAATACCAATTTGTTGATCGAGGCTCCGTTAAAAAGTTATTAACGTTTAATGTTCTGTCTATAGAACTGTAGTTTCGACAAAATTAAAAAATTACAAATCGTTCTAAAAAAATTATTTTCAGTTGCAGGGGCCAATTACAATCATTTTTGGTCATTAGACATACCCTCGAAATCCTGCGCACTTTCAAGAAAAAAAATCGAGTTAGTGGACAAATTTTTCGACAAAATTAAAAAATTTCAAATCGCTCTGGAAAAATTATTTTCAATTGCAGGGGTCAATTACAATCATTTTTGGTCATTAGACATACCCCTGAATTCCTACGCACTTTCTAGAAAAAAATTCAAGAATGTATGAAATTTTTCGACGGAAAATAAAAATTTCGAATCGTTCTGGAAAAATTATTTTCAGTTGCAGGGGTCAATTACAATCATTTTTGGTCATTAGACATACCCTCGAAATCCTGCGCACTTTCGAGAAAAAAATTCAAGAAGGTATGAAATTTTTCGACGGAAAATAAAAATTTCGAATCGTTCTGGAAAAATTATTTTCAGTTGCAGGGGTCAATTACAATCATTTTTGGTCATTAGACATACCCTCGAAATCCTGCGCACTTTCGAGAAAAAAAATCGAGTTAGTGGACAAATTTTTCGACAAAATTAAAAAATTTCAAATCGCTCTGGAAAAATTATTTTCAATTGCAGGAACCAATTACAATCATTTTTGGTCATTAGACATACCCCTGAATTTCTGCACACTTTCTAGAAAAAAATTCAAGTTGTGAAATTTTTCGACGGAAAATAAAAATTTCGAATCGTTCTGGAAAAATTATTTTCAGTTGCAGGGGCCAATTACAATCATTTTTGGTCATTAGACATACCCCCGAATTCTTACGCACTTTCGAGAAAAAAATTCGAGTAGATGGACAAATTTGTCGACAAAATTAAAAAATTTCAAATCGCTCTGGAAAAATTATGTTTGGTTGCGGGGCTCAATTACAATCATTTTTGGTGAATACACATATCTCCGAAATTGTACCCGTTTTTGAGAAAAAAATTCGAGTAGATACTGACATTTTTAGACGAAATTGAAAAATTTCAATTCGTACTAAAAAAATTATATTTAGTTACAGGGGTCAATTATTATCGACACTATTTTAGAAGGTGTCTTCCTCGCATCAGAATTAACATAAAATATAAACCGTTCGTTATGAAAGAGGATTCCACTGAAAAGTAAATTTATATTCATTTCGAAATACAAGATATTGCACTTTAATCGGCCGAAGAACACAGATAATCCCTAATCAGCTGCTTCTGGTGATCGCCGACAAGCAAATTTATCAGATATACAAAGAATGTAAACATTGCCTGAAAAAAATATGTTTTTGATGACCGCAAATGGGCTTGCACAACTTCCATAATTACTGAATTTCGAAAGTACTTCCACTAATGGCTCCTTTAGGCCAGAGAAACAGGTGCACAATATCCTACGTTCTTTAAATAGAAATTGAATTCCTTTAAACCAGTGTTTCTCAATTTTTTTTTTTTAATCGTGCCCCTGCTCAATGCCTCAATGATTTTAAAGCCCCTTTCCCCTAGTATAATAGTCGATCAAAGTCTGAAAAATTATAATATACATATGTAGTTTATATGGAAAAAAGCGTCAAAATATAATTAAATTTTTCATTTGCATAACAAAAAGAGTCTGTTTTTGTGCACCACTGGCTTACGAGCGTAACGTTATTGTTGTAAGAACATAGAAGAACATTCGTGTCCATGGAGTTACACCATTTTCATAATGAATGCCTTTCTCATTCCGTTTAACAACTGTATTTCAGTCGGCACGGTCGTAAAAAAAACCTTTACTTCGTTGGCACACACTTTTTGATAGACAAAATTAACTTAATTACAACATGATTTCACAGATTGGGGTCCGGGAACTTTCAAAATTTTATATCATGGAATAAACAAAATACTTCTACGATATTTATTTTTATTAAGGGTAATTAAAATCTTTAGGGTTATAAAATTGGAAAGAGTTGTTCAAAATGGCGTCCTTGGCAACATAAATATGAAATCGAGGCCATGGGAGCGTTCTCGAGATTAAATAATTACCAAAGTTCGTTTTTTGAAGGTTAAGGTAGCCCGATCTTGTCACGAATAAACAAAATACAAAAACTTCCACGATATTTTGTATTTAGTAAGGGTGATTAAAATCTTTGAGGTTATACAATTGGAAAGAGTTGTTCAAAATGGCGTCCTTGGGAACACAAATGTGAAATCGAGGCCATAGGAGCATTCTCGAGATTAAATACTGACCACAGTTTGTTTTTTGAAGTTTAAGATAGCCCGTTTAAGAGACCTTGTTATGATTAAACAAAATACAAAAACTTCCACGATATTTTATTTTTATTAAGGGTGATTAAAATCTTAGAGGTTATAAAATTGGAAAGAGTTGTTCAAAATGGCGTCCTTGGAAACATAAATATGAAATCGAGGCCATGGGAGCGTTCTCGAGATTAAATACTGACCAAAGTTTGTTTTTTGAAGGTTAAGGTAACCCGACCTACGGGTACGCCCCGTATTAAAAAAAAAACAAAGAAAACCGTATCGGTGGCTCGACAGTGGCAAAACAGAGGACGAACGTTCGTTTGCACGTTTGTATTCTTGTCACGAAGGCTGGCGAAGATAAACATTTGTTCCCGATTCGCGATTTGCGGCGTGCGAGCGTATCGCCTAGCGATTAGTCATCGCGGCTAGCCGATGTATCGGGCCAATGCGGTCGGCTGGAATTATGCGTCGGGTGATTCACTTGTACGCAACGATTCGTAGGCGCGAGACGATGTCTTTATGATTCGATTGCTCGATACTCGACTTTGAGGCTCGCGCGAGGAACGACCGTCGACCGCGGATGACGAACCGTGCAATAAACGCCAGCAGAAGATCGTGAAATAAAACACGGGGACGGTAATTTTGCGGTAACCGAGCCGAAGCCCAGAGACGAAACAAACTTTATTGCCTAACACACTGTTGCGTTCTTCTAATCTTTCGAAAGAGAAATTTTTCTTGATTATTTACAGGCCCGTGAATTAATTTCGTCAAACTGAACGATTCGCGAAAAAAACAAACAATTTTTGGTTGGTATTTGGATCGAGCAAATGAATTTCTTGTTTAATCGCAGTGCTCCTCAACCTACGGGTCAGGCCTAAATTTGCATTTCGATTATTTAAATGTAATGTTTGCGCTTTCGCGTTAACCTTTGAACTGCTAAGGTTAAGGCTGAATCATTGGGTAGCCCGTATGAAAATTTTTATTGGACATCGTGTTGTAAACTAATGCTTTTTGAAAAAATATTTTCCATGATCGGAATGAAAATTGATAAATTCCATTCTTTCGTTGTTGATTGCTTCGTCTCGTCTTTCGTGTGATAAGAAACGTTCGCGATTATGCGGTGCAATGAAGCAACCAATCAACGATGATCGACCATTGCCCAGTGACGTGCGAGTCTTATCGGGCCCAGAGATATTACTACTGATTCTAGAATTAATATACCTGGTCGAAAAATACCTGGCCGCGCTACTTAAGGAAAGGTGCAAATAAAACTATTGTGTTTGTATATTAAAAATATTCGAATATTATTTTATAAAAAAAAAAAAGTGTGAGAGTATTCAGTTGAGTGGATATCCAATTTTCAAACATTCCATCTTCTCCGCTACTGGCGATCGTTCATCTGTAATGGTATTAATCGTATGAGTATATTAACTGATAAGTGCAACAACACTATCGATCTTTCTTGTAACGTTTAAATCAAAAGCTACTATTATTATATTTCGTTTTCTTTCCTTTGTACATATTTGTCTTCTTCGTTTCTTTTCGTTTATCTTTATATTATGCATTCTGTACTAAAGGATTCTCTCGTTTATATTAATAGTAATAAATAATGGCCAGGTTTCTTTGACCAAGTTTATTAAAAAAAAAGCAATTTTCTTCTAAAACGTGAATAGTAAGTTACTGTGGGTCAGATCAGACCCACATATCGCCAACTGTGGCAAAATATGAATGAATAATTATTACTAGCGAATGATATATTCAACTTTGTCAACCCTTTCGTTTCGAATCATTTTTTAATCTAAAAAAAGGAGGTTAAAAACGTTATTTTTTTTTTAACTATACAGAGTGTTCAGCCACCACTGGGAAAAATTTTGATGAGGGATTCTAGAGGCCAAAATAAGACGAAAATCAAGAATACCAATTTGTTGATGGAGACTTCGTTAAAAAGTTATTAACAATTAAATTAAAATATTTCAAATCGTTCTGGAAAAATTATTTTCGGTTGCAGGGGTCAATTACAATCATTTTTTATAAATAGACAAACCCACGAAATCCTACCCACTTTCTAGAAAAAAATTCGAGAAGGTGTGAAATTTTTCGGCGAAAAGAAAATTGTTCAAATTGTTTTGAAAAAATTATTTTCGGTTGCAGGGGTCAATTACAATCATTTTTTATAAATAGACAAACCCACGAAATCCTACCCACTTTCTAGAAAAAAATTCGAGAAGGTGTGAAATTTTTCGGCGAAAAGAAAATTGTTCAAATTGTTTTGAAAAAATTATTTTCGGTTGCGGGGGTCAATTACAATCATTTTTGGTGAATAGACATACCCCCGAAATCCTACTCACTTTCTAGAAAAAAATTCGAGAAGGTGTCAAATTTTTCGACGGGGAAAAAAAATTTCAAATCGTTCTGAAAAAATTGTTTTCGGTTGCGGGGGTCAATTAGAATAATTTTTGGTGAATAGACATACCCCCGAAATCCTGCGCATTTTCGAGAAAAAAATTCAGTATTGGCGGAACTTTAAACGTTAATAACTTTTTAACGAAGCCTCCATCAACAAATTGGTATTCTTGATTTTCGTCTTATTTTGGCCTCCAGAATCCCCCATTAAAATTTTCCCCAGGGGTGGCCGAACACCGTGTGTATATATTTTGGATAAGACAATCAACAAAATGGACAATTAACTTTTAATATGAGTCACTTCCCTACGTGTCATTGTATACATCAACGCGTTCGTTACCATGTGTCATTTATGTATCTATGACGCATCGATTTTTACGAGAAACCAACGTCACGTTAATTTTTTTAGTTTATGTTCGTACAAACAAATAAGCTATGAACCATGAAAGCAAAACTAACATCAGTATAATGATATAATTATATTGGTATAAAAGTTATTTTACACTGTAACCAAAAATAAATTAAAATATACATTTTAAAGAGGGTTTAGCATTAAAAAAAAAATCAGAACAGAAACGTTTATAGAGCGTTTCTTATTCCTCAAATTCCTCTGTTATCTTTTCATCATTATGAATTTTACTGTATTTTACAAAGTTTCATTATGAAATTTAAACACTGGACAAAGTAATTTTTCAAAACCATCCTCTTCTGGTATAGTGTTCGTGCTCCAAAATGTCCACCCCTAAATGTTTTATTACAATACTTCAAAAGAGACCTACTTATACAGGATGTCCCCTCTAAAACGTTACAAACTATTTTTTGAGTAAGTATTGGGCATAAAGAATAACTTTTTACACAGAAATCTTGTCGCTAATGTCACTGTTTGGTCCCCTACAATTTTTTCAACGAAATACCATACAAATTTTTCCCATCGTTTCTAATATTTAACTAAAATATTTTTTTCTTATTTTCCATAGCGAAACAAATTTTCAAGACAAGTCCACTTGCAACCTATAACGGACTGGTGCGTCATAGCTTCACTGGCCACTTTCACCGATGACGTACTGGTGCGTCATAACTTTCCTGACCACTTTCACCGATAATGCACTGGTGCATCATGGCCAAGCTGGTAATTTTCACCGATGACGTTCTGGCACGTCAAAACCATACTTTGGCGTGGCAAAGCTATTCGCGTTCCAGAAACTGAAAATTTATCGTTCGTATCGTACGCGGGCGGCGAAACTATTGCCTTTTCGATTCATTCGTTCGATCCACCGTTCGCGAGAAAAACAACCGAGAATTAATAGCGTGAACCGAAAATTCATAAGTCTGCAGGAAGCGGTGGGATATCGAAATCATTCAACGTTGAAAAAAATTGCTAGATTGCATGCGCGTTACAGTATAGCGGTTCGAGTCCCGACCGAGTTTTTTCACTCGACCCGTTGTGTCTGCCCATTTGCTGTTTCGGCCCAGCAAACACGCAACCACTGTGGTTGCGAATCAAACCACTGTACTTTGCAAGCAGTTTTTTCTTTTCTTAGAAAACGTTTTACCAGCAGAGACGAGCGAAACTGGAAATTACGAAAAGCATACAGACAAGCTTTACTCCGTTATTCGTTCGATAAAAATTAATCTTCTTCGCTAATCTTCTCCATTAATTGATTCATTCATTGATCTATTCCCATACGTTCCTAGATTTTTTGTACTCCGGATCACACGAAGGTCGTGCTATCACAGATTATTAAATTGGTCCTGACATCAACTGTTACGCCATAATGATAAATTCACGAGAATATAGATCATTTTTAAACTTGGAAAAGTTTGGCATTTTTTCTATTTCAACTGAAATAAAGTAGTGCTAAAACAAACGAACAGCACAATCTATCTATTATCAATCGTGGTAACCGAAATTATGTAATAACTGTTACGAGTGAAGATATCGTATATCAGTTTCGATTTTAACTTCTTACTAGATCGACTTTCTATTGATTCTGTATCGGTTCTATATCAGAACTAATCTTGTGTAGACAAATTACAACTATCGTATTTCAAAATCTAAATCATTATCTACGTTTACTTTTACTGTATTGCGAGGGGTCACTTATCACAATGTGGAATGTTCATAAATGCAAAGAATTTTTTTTTACCCTCTTTAGTGACTACTGAAAACCCTTAAAATTTTTAACAACCTATATATCAGTTATTAACAGTTATTTTCAAACCAATTTCAAAATGAAATAGCCTTTAACCGATATCTTCAAGAATTTCGATTCTTCAGGACAGTCATAGAAAATACAAGTTCTGTTAAACAGTTCGAAACAGTTATTTTCAACAGATCCTGAAATCGATATAATTTAACATGTGCGCTGCCACTGTTCAATTGGAGAATATGTCGAAATTTTATTCAATTATGTACAAATAAAATGTATTAATCAGTTCATCTGAATATTTTAAGTCTCCAACATAATGTCAATGGTCGATACTTCGTTTGCTTAGAAGGAGATAAAATAGGCAATCATAACTGTCATAGACATATGATATTAGTCATCCGTGGTAGCAAACATGTTAAATAAAACTGTGCAAACGAATGTTATTTTCTATCCGTTTTTCGAGGAGATAGTCTGTAACAGAGGGGGAACCCTGCAAATTAAGCTTTTCAAACAACAGAATTCGGAATGTGAATCACTGTAAACGCGATTTGTCCCAGAAGTACCCAAACTTCTTACTAGCGACGCCATTTGTTAACACAGGTATTCTTTTCAACCAAATCCTTACAACTATCCTCTACTTTATAAATACAAGATGTTCGACCACCCGAACAATTTTAATAAGCGATTCTAGAGACCAAAATAAGACGAAAATCAAGAATACCAATTTGTCGATCGAGGCTTCGTTAAAAAGTTATTAACGTTTAATGTTCCGTCTGTAGAACTGTAGAGTTTCGACAAAATTAAACAATTTCAAATCGTTCTAAAAAAATTATTTTCAGTTGCAGGGGCCAATTACAATCATTTTTGATCATTAGACATACCCCCGAATTCCTACGCACTTTAGAGTAAAAAATTCGAGTAGATGGGCAAATTTTTTGACAAAATTAAAAAATTTCGAATCGTTCCAAATAAATTATTTTCGGTTGCAGGGGCCAATTACAATCATTTTTGGTTGATATACATACCCCCGAATTCCTACGCACTTTAGAGAAAAAAATTCGAGTAGGTGGACAAAATTTCGACAAAATTAAAAAATTTCAAATCGTTCTGGAAAAATTATTTTCGGTTGCAGGGATCAATTACAATTATTTTTGGTCATTAGATATACCCCCGAATTCCTACGCACTTTCGAGAAAAAAATTCGAGTAGGTGTGAAAATATAATGTGAGGTTAGAATTGTCTTGAAATTTCCTGCGTATGTTTAAAATATCACAACTTTTGAACGGATTGGGGGATTTTAAAGTTTCAAAATGCAAACAATGCGTATTAATGGGGCGAAAAAGTACATTCGAAGTGAGGTCTACGCGTATACCTCGTCTGTGGTTCTCACTCGCAAGACTGTAAGGCTGTCCATACGTCATTAAATAGAGTCTCTCATGCTGCGTGAGAACCACTATCGCGCGCACGCAGCTGTTCACAGATCGCCGTTCCACAGGCGGAACCTTAAACGTTAATAACTTTTTAACGAAGCTTCGATCAACAAACTGGTATTCTTGATTTTCGTCTTATTTTGACCTCCAGAATCTCCCATTAAAATTTTTCCCAGGGGTGGCCGAACACTCTGCACACGAAGTTAGGTGTTATTAACCATGGAGTCACAAGTGGCAATCTTAACTCTCGGTCGAGAAATTACGACGTAAGAAAAACTTAAGCAGCACCTGTGCTACTTCTGGTCTTAAAAAGGTGTAGTGGCAGTCAGCCATCCGTGGTATTCGCTCGATTTGAATCTCTACTAGTTTTTAGTTCCCCAAATTAGAAAAAAAAGCAATTCGCTACAGTATCGGAATTCGAAAAGGCCTCGACCACCGTTTCTCGGTTGTACGCCATCTTGGAAGTATGGACGAGCGTTCGTTTCCTCGGAAGGGGCATTGCATTTCCCGGTAATCGCCAATGAAAGATCGTTTTTAGTTGAATTCGAGTTCGGAAACTTTCGGGACAGAATCGTTTATGTATATTTAGCGGTATACCAACCTAATAGCCGCAGGACACGAGGTAGTCGCCGAGTTTTTCAACGACCGACGCGGCTTGCTGTGGCTGTATGGGGTCTTCGTAGAGGGAGACGACTACGGCCTGCGTCGTCTTCATGCAGTGGACGCCGACCTTGCCGAGTTTTGCCCTTATTACTCGATCCGTGCCCGACAGGTAAATGTACCTGTTGCCGGCCAAGGTGACGCCCGACGACGTCAGTATATCCTGTTCCTCGAATCCCTGGACCAATTTCGCCAGCTCCTCTTTACTTACCTGCGCACATAAACGACACGTGACACGCGTTCGCTTTCGCGTAAAGACAACGAACGGAAAGGGAAAATAATCAGCAGACCGTGAACCGGCAAACATCGCGCAAGGTAAGCGCACTTAATTTCCACACTAACCCAGTCATCGACACTTTCGATGCATTTCATTAATACGATTATCAACAGTCCGACAAAACCATTATACGTTTCTCTCGATTTTTGATCATCGTTCCGGGATGCATCGAAGCTTCACAGATCTGCACCGAAGACGCGAGGCGGTGTGTCACTCACTAGTTTCGCGCACAAATATTTTCTGAAATGCTCGAGGCAACACTTTTTAAAAATTTTTTAAAAATTGTATCGTGTGAAATTACACTTTGCGGTATCGAGAGAAAGTTTTAATCCTATTGACCTTGGCCCGTTGCGCTGGTCCACCCGTGTTCGAACGTTTTTTAATAAATACCAAGAGAGTTTTGTAAAATTAATTATATTCGTGAACGAAGTATTCACGAATACAACGGAGAAATTAAATCTTGCGCTGGAATGTGAAATAATAACATTCAGATCTGGATCGAAATCCTCCGGTACTGTGCCGGAGTCATTTTTGACTCGTCGCGTTCCGCGAGATACGAACACAGTAGTAAGTCTTGCTATTGTAACAGGGGTAATTGCGTACGTGTGTACATACGTCTTGTGTTTACTGTCTTGACCAAAGGGCCACACACTCCGCGAACAGTCTTTTTCACGGAGCTCTTTGTTTATCACTTGATTAATTTGACAGACAAACAAACAGAAAAGGAAAAGAAAACAGTATCTCCTTTACTTGTTTACGAGTGTTACCAAATGGCCCAATTCCTCTAAGGAAAACGTATGCGTAACACGGAGGAATCGAGTCTCGAGCGACCGTCAATGTCGATACATACATATGCGTGAGCTCGAGGTTCGAGCAAGAGAAAATGTATCTGTATTTAGTGAAATATCGGCGTGAGTCAGAAATGACTCCGGCACAGACTTCGAAGTCCCAGTAGTCGGAAAATTAGAAAAAGTTACATAGGCATAAATAAAACCGATAGTTTCGAAATAATAAATGGTAGACCAATTAGTAGACTCTTAGGATGGACCAATAAACACTTTTGTATACAATGTTTGACAATTAACAGTGCTCCTTTGTAAGAAATTGGCGACACGTGTATCGTATAAACGTGAATGTAATCGCACGTTAACGATCCGTTCTTTATTCACGCATTTCCGCGTTCGAAACGTTTAATTCCATCGCGTTACGCTTTTTGCGTTTATCTGTCTTTCCGTATGCTCTATCTCGAATTTTTTTTTGAAACATTTCCGATGTGATAATATAAATGAAATCTAGGTGCTCGTTATAGTAAAAAATACTTCTCACGATATTTGCAGCAAGGCTTATTAACGCTTTAGTTGCGATATAAAATTATGCAATAGTTTTTTTAACTAATTTTTAACATAATACAAAATCTGTTTTGCATAACAGATCTCACCTTCGATATAATTGGTATATACACGGGCATTCAAAGAGTAAATGCAATAGTAGTAGAAATTAAATTATAAAAGAAGTATAATTGCAATCAACTAACGTAATATATTACAATAACAGAACGTAAAGTGGTTTTAAAATTGTATAGAAATAGTAAAATAAAAGTTTAGAAGATAAATGTAAAAAGACAAGGATTGTATGTAGTATAATAATTTACAAGGAAAATGGGTGAAATTCTCGATTATTTGTCCCCCCACTCACAATGTATTTGAAATAGCAGGTAAACGACAGTTCACCCTTTATAACTTACTTAAAAATCATCGAAACCGGGGAGGGGACAAGTAATCGAGAACTTGACCAAACAGGCGAGTATTACACTTGAACAATGCGTTCGTATAAACTTGAATGTTACAGTTAAGAGGTTAAGGAAGAGTTCCGATATCTCCAGATTTAATGTACGAAGTAAGAAAGAAGAGAAATTTTTAATAGAACTGTTGCACGTGCGAAAAAGGCTAACGAAACTAAGCATGTTTTGCTACTTATTATAGAACCGGTGGGGACAAATAAGAAGAGATGCAGTTACGCAAAAGCCCCTAGTAGCGCAATCTGTCGCGCGTACTTGACACGCTCGTTTATCGGATGACGTACACAAGTGCATCTACTTCGCGCAACATTTTTGTATCGACAGTACCTTTGTGAACGTCGACCCTTAAAACATCGGTACGATAGGTTCGCCATTGAAAATCACGATCTTGCCGACCGCGAGAATCGTACAGATCCTCGCAGAGACAACTCCAGCGTGACCTCCTTTCTACGGAGTGTAACGGTCAGACGGAGAACGAAGAGAAAAAGATCAAGAATCTTTGCTCCCAAGACGGAATCACTGCCGACTCGAGATCCGTTTGATTAAAATTTTCCAACGATACGCAACGAGCCTTCCTTTCACAGTTCTTTTTATTGAAAAGAAACGTCTACGTATGTAGTTTGTAAATAACGAACGACGGCGTGTACGCGTGCGTGAAAAATATCCCTAGAACCTCGTGCGTAAAAGTGTTATCGATAAGGAAGAACGACGACAGGAGTCGCGCGTGTTGAGCGCTTATAAACCGATAATAATTTTTCATAGTTCAAGATCGCGTTCAATTATCTTATTAACAAATCGAAATGCCTACGTTCGGATTACTTGACACTCGGCAGTGTACTTAGAAAGGATACGAACGTTGTACGACGATGATAACGGTACGTTGCCAGCCTCGTGTATCGATCGAGTATTCGGAATATGTAACTTGACAACAAATCTTTACGTAGACGAAAGCGCAAAGAACGCCTTTAACGGCTAACGCAACCAAGGTCACATTGAAATCATGACTCGCTAATTTCAAGTACGAACTTACAAATTGACGAGACTTCTCATCAACTAGTAAACTGAAACGCTTTACGAGGGACGTCCCTGACTGATTGACTAGCAATGCGATGAGTATGCCATGAATCAAGCCACAGTGCAGCTGATCGTATATCCACGAACTGGTTGTGTGATAAAACGATCAAATAAACATCGTACTAAATTTAAATCGACGATAATATTTCCGAAAAACATTTAAATAATTCTCGATACGGAATACGTTATCGCGCCGAAAATGACGTAAAAGCCAACGTAGATAGCCCCTGACAATCAAACGACACTCTTTTTGGAAAGTTCGAACGTCGCGATTATAAAGGCGTAGCTTTCAAAGAACTCGACACGACCATTCGATGCAACTTCGTCGAGAGGAATATAATTTTATGCAGAGATACTGCTTTTTGGGATTGTGAAACGCTACGAGGCATTGAAGATTAACTACTGAAATATATAAAAGGCGATGTCAAACAATGGATGTTAAAACACGAAACAAAGTGGAGAAAAAAGTTTATTAGCTCGTCCGGGCATCGAGGCACCCTCTTTATGATTCAAGTCACGGCACTGTGGGAGGTTGCCGGCCGGCCGGCATCGCCATTTTGGCATTCGTAACCGGAAAGTGTGCGCGCGAGGCCATGCTCTGCAGCTGGCGACCTTTATCTCTCTGCGTTTCACCGTCCGCATAAAAGCTTTCGTCGAATCCAAGAAAGAACGGCGCTCCGCCTCGTGACCGAACGCGTTTCTCTTGCATCGCTCTTTCTCAAAAACATCGTATTCGCTAGGAATGCGTTTCGCAGCTATTTTTAGATTTTGGAACGGATTAACATCACCGTACACGGTTGACAAATTATATCGTACGCTGCGATATCGCATTTCCCAAGAGAGAAACCACAAAAAATACGCGTTTCGAAAAAAAATACTGGACGCACGATCGGGCTTATATATATATTTTTTTTTATCGAGGAAACCTAGCACGATCGACCAAAGAAAAATTCGCTTTCATATTCCGCATCCGCCCACTCATTCGATTTTCCCAATAGTTCCTACACTCGTTTCGCTAACACGCCGAGTCGAGGCTCGGAATTTACCGACAGGATTCGCAAGAGCTTTTTAAATGCAACGCGGATGGCGCACCGATCGAGCTCAACCTTTCTGGAACTGATGGTTTTGCAATTTTAAACGATCTTGCCATTGACCGTTTGGCAAAAGCAGAGGAACAAAATGAATCTCATCCGTTGCTCAAATACACTAAATTGTCCAATTGACTGCACTCGGGCATTTTCGTCGATATCCGAATTGTAGACGTGCAGTATGATTTATCTCACTATTATCATCTACGTTTCGTTACACATGCAACAAATTTAACCTATACGCTCCGAAACTGTACACGTCGTACGTAGGCGGGTTTACGCGTCTCTCTCGATAGCGGAGAACCGCTTCCGAAGAAATGAGTCATCCTTCGTCACGATGAAATTTGTAATTTTCATCAGACTGTTAACGAATATCGAGTATCTGGTATCTAATATCTAGTATTTAGTATCTAGTATCTAGCACCGCGGTCCGAGCGTGATCATAAATTTTGCGAACCCACCCGGTTTTGCCGAAAAGAATAGGAGCCACCATTTCCATGAGCAACAGCGACAACGTGCCCGGCAGGCAGCCATGTTAAACTTAGTCGAAAACGGTTCAAGTTCGACCAGGCAAAATTTTCTGCGGCGAATATCGCCACACCCAATCTCGCGCAAGACTGATCGAGCGAAATCGATTTCTCGAAAAATCTTGAAAGAAAGAAATCAATTTGCTTATCACGTGATAATCGTTTCAACCGGCTTAGCAATTTATGCGATGGATCCGCGATGGCCGGTTCTGCAGACACATTTGGGCGGTGGACGAAATTCCTTGAGACTTTTCGACAAAGGGAAGGTCGCGACCGATTGGTCGATGATGAATCGAAAATATATTCAGCCGGCTTAGCCTTTCGTATGCTTTCCGGTCTAATCGGCGGCGTAGGTAGCACGAGGTACGATTATGCCGGGTCAACACGCGGAACTTTCCGAAGGATTTTAATGATTTAGACGGATACGAGGATTTATCTTCGCTTCAGGAAAGTAAGACGCGCGAATGGCTACGTGGCACCATATTTTTGATGATGAGATCGGTACTCGTCGTTGCTCATAAAACTCATTTCGATTTCGACTATCGAGTAATGTATCGGAAGATGCCGTTTCGATCCCATGGATTCGGTCGATCGTTCAACGAACAAAATTCTAATTTGTACGTATACATATATGTATGCATGAATGCATGCATGCATGTATGTATGTACGTATGTATTAGATATATAGTCGCGGCAAAGAAACGAAGAAAGACGTTCGATGGTGTCGACCGACCGCAACGATCAACAAAGAAAGAAGGCGGAGAGAAGACGAGAAACGCGAAAGGCTATGATGCGATTAGATTTTTTTGACGTGCGACCAGCGCTTACTTTCCCTCTTGTCGGTCGGCTAACAATAATAATGGTAATGATAATAGTGATAATAATAATAAGCCTCCGAAGCGTCAGTCGATCGAGATACAACGATTACTCACTTCGAAGCCTTCAGACTTCGCCCAAACGTTGCCATCGTGTCCCGCGATCGCAGCTTTGGTAACACACCTAGACGCGAGCAGCTGCTTGTCAACGTAATCCTGCCAGCTCATTTTTTAACACAAGCGGCTCGACCGAACTGTTCACTACAGCACTAGAGACACAACCCGTCACCGACTGATTCCTCTCACGACTACCTATATGCGCTGAACGCCGGTCACACTTCTCTTTTACCCCTCCTTATCCCTTCGCGGTTATTCGCAGCCCCTCTTGGCCCCTCTTAGGTCCCCTCACTCCCCAAAGCCCCCTCTGTCAAGGGATCGCGTTCACCCCACTCCCCATAGCCGGACGGTAATTGACTACCGATCAGTTCTACCAACCCTTGAACGCAATATTCGAGATATCGAGTATGTCGGTTATTATCTATCGAGAAACAGTCGATAATTTCAAATATCATGTTTCTTTCTTTCCTTCTTATTTATCTTATCTCTTACCTTATCTCTTATTATCTATCGAGAAACAATTGATAATTTCAAACATTATTTTTCTTTCTTCTTTAAATTTAATGTAAACGTTTTAGTTATCGTTTGACGCTACCAACCGTCATTCACGTTTAAACCGTACACGTAATTCTGAAATATTTAACTCTATGACCCTTCTAAATTGACTCTTTTAAATATAATAATCTTGCTCCTTATAGATTGCGTAAATGTTTAACATGGAAACGGTGCATTATATATCCTGAAGTAGATACTCGCCTACCAATAAGACAAAAAATGCACAATTATTAATCAATCAAGTTTCATCAATTATACGTTTTAGTGACTTTCGTATTGCGATGCACGTTGTGGCAACCCTTTCTATAGAGATAAAGAATTCTTACCATAATAACACTCCACGTGCTTTTCCGTTTAGGTTTTACTTTTTCAGACGATATGAACGACAGATTTGACAGATTTTAGAGTTTGCGTAGATACTTTACCACGATGCAAGTTTCTTGTCCGAACAATGTAAAAATTTACAATTTGAGTGCTGGAAAATCTATTCCAGAGGTAAAGCATCATTCCTTACGTTTATTACTCATTTTATCATCGTTCCGATTTTAATGATATTGATATGTAATTTTTATTTTGTTAGTGGTTATCGGAACGCAAACGACGAAGCTTATTAAAAAAGAATGTTGGTAAGTGAAGTTGTTTACCAAGTGTATGATTATGTGTGAGCAATATACAATTGTAACATTTTGACAGATATACGGCGACGTATTGAACTTATCCAGGACTTTGATATGCCTGGAATTAGCACTTCTATTAAAGTTTCGAAGGATGGACAATACATTTTAGCAACAGGAATATATAAACCACGTGTAAAGTGTTTTGATGTAAAAAATTTGTCTTTAAAATTTGAAAGATGTTTTGATTCCGAGGTTGTTACTTTTGAAATATTATCAGATGATTATAGTAAGGTATGTATATATAATTTGTGTTATATGCATTTGTTTTGTTGATAGTCAAGACAATTACCAAACTTTTCTATTATGTTACAGTTGGTATTTTTACATTGCGATAGATACATTGAATTTCATGTTGCCCATGGCAAATATTACAGGCTCAGAATACCACGTTTTGGAAGAGACATAAAATATCATTATCCATCTTGTGATCTGTTCTTAGTGGGAGATAGGTTTGTTATTTAATAATCTTTCGGCATTAAGCATCATTTAAAATAATGTTTAGGCAAAATCTATCTATAATAGCTGACATTGTGTTACAGTAATGAGATTTATAGATTAAATCTTGAGAGAGGACAATTTTTGCAGTCTTTCATAACGGAATCAACATCAATAAATAAGTGTGAAATAAATCCAGTACATAATCTTCTAGCTGTTGGAACGCAAGAAGGTAAAGTTGAAGCATGGGATCCTCGAACGAGAAGTAAAGTGGGTACCTTAGACTGTGCTTTGTACTGTGTTGGACAAGACAATAAGTAAGATAACATGTTGCAATGTGCATTGTTCGAACGAGCGTTTTATTTGCCTACAAATACAATGTCCATTTTGATGCTATATAGGATAGTGGCAGTTCCAGCAATTACTAGTTTAAAATTTCAAGGAGGTCTGACATTTGGCGTGGGTACATCAACTGGACAGATACTGTTATATGATATTCGCTCTAGCAAACCTTTCTTGGTGAAAGATCATATGTATGGATTGCCGATCAAAAATATAGAGTTCCATCAGAAAATGGACATGGTTTATTCTATGGATAGTTCTATTGTGAAAATATGGGAGAGAAATAACGTAAGTAAGATTATTATATGCATAGATAAAATCTTAAAACAAATACAGTAGTGCCTGCTTAAGTGTCCGCGCTCGGGACACTTCTCATGGTTACTTCTCAGAATTCAACGGAGATAAGGAAAGAGAATAAATGCGAGCGAGATACAATAGCTGGCACTCGAAACCATATATACAATGTATCGATAACAATCGATGTCAAGTTACGCTCGACACGTTCGATCTTTGAAGCCGCTTCGCTTCCATTGATGGGGATAACCGCAGACACTTAAGTGGGCGCTACTGTAAAACGAATTAAAATTTTGCCATTAAAAAATCGTGTTTTTCAGGGTAAATTGTATACATCCGTAGAAGCTCAAAATGATTTTAATGATATGTGCGTTATACCAAATACTGGAATGTTTGTAATTGCAAATGAAAATGCGAAAATGCAAACTTATTATATCCCCAGTCTTGGGCCGGCTCCATATTGGTGTAGCTTTTTAGACAATCTGACAGAAGAATTAGAGGAATTGGATTATGAAACAATTTACGATGATTATAAATTTGTTACTGAAAAGGAGTTAGATGAATTAGGTTTGTCGCATTTGAAGGGCACTAAACTTCTTAGAGCTTATATGCACGGGTATTTCATGGATATCCGACTGTATAGAAAGGCGAGAGACGTGATGAAACCTTTCGAATTTGAAGAATATAAGAAAAAAAGAATACAGCAGAAAATACAAGAAACCTGCGGTAGCAGAGTACAGGTAGCGTATTTTAATATTGTGTAAAGCACTTTACAGGATACAATATGCAATATTCTTTAGTTCACACTTGTATGTATTTGTAGGTTCAAAAATTACCGAGTGTAAATAAAGAGCTTGCGTTTAAATTAATGGAAGATGAAACGAATATAAAGAAAAAGAAAAAGAGCTCTTCTAATCTTCTAAAAGACGATCGTTTTAAAGCACTGTTCAGTAATCCAGACTTTCAAGTGGATAAAAACTCGGAAGAGTATTCGTTGTTAAATCCCGTTATTTCTCAGCTTGACAAAAGCAGAGCAAAGAAGTTAAAAGCTAGAATAGCTGAAGAAGAGGCACAACAGAAAATGGAGATTGATCGTGAGGACGATGAAAACCAAGGTTTTTTGATGCAACATGTAACATTATATTTTCATGTCATTATTAGATCGTTTTAATTACAAAATTCATATTTTTAGACAATAGTTCGGATGAGAGCTTCATTCATGACGATAGTAGCTCGGAAGATGAAAAACCATGGGTGAAGGAAGTAAAAAAACAATATCGATTGATAAAGAAAAATGAAAGACAAAATGAGGAAGAGGATGAAAACGAGAAAGATAACGATCAAAGATTAGGAAATAATTCTCGACTTTATGAAATCAAGGAGCACGTGGAATTCAGAGATGCAAAACCGATAGCAAGGAAGCAAAATAAGTATGTATATATTACTACGCGATAGAGTATGAAAAAATAACAGTATTAAATTAAGTTATTACAAAATTATTTTCATGTTCTTTAGGGCTAGCTTGGAAGACAGGCTAAAAAATCAAGCTCATGGTATTAAAATTTCTGGTTTCCGTGGTAACAGAGAAATGACTTTTGTTGTTGGAAAGGTATTTTTCTATCAAATCGTTAAACAAAATTTGATTATTCCGTATATATAGGTACATCGTATATTTATTTACAGAAGAAACAAACTGGACGCGCAAAATTCCAAGTAAAGAGGCACGGAAAAGAATATAAACATCTTTTGAGACCAGCACGAAACCTGTACAGGAAGAAACGTTAATATTTATTGTTGTATTAAGTTTTTTTTTTAAATAGTAAACAATTTTATTTTGTACAGTAAATACTTTTCTGCGTTCTTTTCGTTGCGTTGGTATAGGGAACGGTGACCTCCTCTTTCCCAATATCCCATATTAGAAGTTGTTGTCTGTGGCACGAGTAAAGTAATTTGTTTCGTCGCGATGCATATGTATATCTTGACAGAGGTGAAGTGTCATCTCAAAAGACTGATATAATTAAATTCATACGTTAGGGTGAATCACACGAGGTGCCGATACAAATGTTTTCTTTTCAAGTTCAAAAGCACTGTACTCGTCTGACGAGAAAAATGACATTGGTGAGTCTTCCAATTATTTCATTTAATCTTCGTTTTCGCAATCACGTTACGATCTGCGGGGGGACCATTTCTTTTGTCGCGTAAATGTGCTCGTATTGAATTTTAAATCTTCGCAACATTCGGTCGTTATAATTGGACAGAGATTCAAGGTGATACTTTTGATCATACCAATCACTGTTTATTTTGATTTAAAAGGTCTGTTAATAATGTACAAATTAGTTTCAAAACTTATACTTGATGCTTATGAAACTTATTTGATGGATCATCAAGTTTATATTAACGTTAATGTAATGGCATTAAATAGTTGTTGCAAAACAATTTTTGTATAACGTGTATCGTTTTACAAAGTTCAAAAACGAGATCGGTAAAATATATTTTATGGAACATTGTCTGTGTTATATTTTACAGGTCAGTTCTAACAATGAATCGAAAAATGGGAAAGATCCTCTTCAGCCAAATCATGAAGATACAACACAAGCATCTACAATGTCTGGATTATCTGATTTACAAATGCAAAGTACAGACGTAAGTATAAATAATTTTTTACAACTTCTCCTTAATTACAATATAAGTTAATATAAGTTAAATATGCTAATATAAGTTTTTTTAAAACAGGTAGGTGAAATCACTGAAATGCCGGATTTTGAGATGCTCAGTACATCCGCAGTACTTCATTACTGCAAACATAAAATATTAAGGCCTTATTTGAGATTATTAGGAGCAATGGGTTTGAGACCCATAAGCAGCGATGATTCTGATCGTAACTCTTGTTATAGTATTTTTGTAAATTTTCATACTTTTCAAGTCACAATATTTATGTGCATTGGATATATTTTACAATATATGGCATGCTTCAGGTAAGAGAACCATACATTAAGTTTATAATACAATTTAACTGTAATTAAGTATACGTATATTCTCAGAAGAGACAGAGGATTTTGCTACGAGATATTACCAATAGCATTTAAAGTTGCACCAAATGCAAGCAAGGAGCATATACATGAAATGCCTTGCTTTGGAAATATTGTATTTAGCTACTTTGTACCTAGTACATTGCACTTAGTAGCGTATTTGTATACAGTATATCTATTTCGTGTTAAAGAAAACGAGCAACTACAAAATTTAATGGAGAGAGCATTCCTTCTCTCTTCTAATCCCGTAAATCGTGGAAATCAAAGGAAACTTGTACAAATCTTGTGGTTATTCATAGCATTAAGCATCGTGTGGATAATCATGGCGCTAATTACAGTAAATGTTTTGATGGCCAGAGGCAATATCGTATTTCAATGGTTAGAACGCAGGTAAATTTCTTGGCACGTGTCATTTATATGCTTCAAGTTTATTTTTCATTCTACATAGTAATTAATTTTGTTCGTTCTTATCATCGAATTATCATGTTTAGTACTATATTTCATCTATTTATATTTCTCGCATATGTTATTTTGCACGCCTTTCAAATTTATTTTCTGCACAGTCCATATCAAATAAAAATAACATTGAAAGTATTTTTAATCGTATGCACATTATGGCACGATATGGTTCAAGGAACAATAATAACCAGTTATTGCTTACAAGGGCAACTTTTATTGGCACATCTGTACTTTCTTCGCGGAAAATTACTTCATCATACTTTACCTGTTATGGATTGGATGAGGGTTTGTAAAATGACCGTTATGAAATTCTTCCCTTTTATTTCGCGACAGAGGAAACCGAAATCATAATTTACGTATTTTGGTACGTTGTAGGAAATTTGTGAATTCAAAAAATTGTTAAAATATTTTAACGATGAATTGGGCCCAGCTGTCTGTATCTATACGGTTGTAAACTTATCGTGGGCAACCGCAGGGACGGTTTGGTTACTTCGATACGATAATAACAACGCGCAAAATAATCCTGTTACTTGGGTTGCAATAATAAACGTCCTTCTGTGGATTTTAATATCGATAGCTCCTTTTATTCAGGTACGTTTGTTAATGGGATGCAATAAACGTTAACTTTTGTGTGGTATTTCTCAAATTTTTTGAAATTTTCTGTAATCTTTGTCAAGAAACATTCGATATACAGGGTGTTCAACCACCCTTGGGAAAAATTTTAATGGGAACTTCTAGAGGGCAAAATAAGACGAAAATGAAGAATACCAATATGTTGATTGAGGCTTCATTAAAAAGTTATTAATGTTCAAAGATCCGTCTGCAGTAGTGGTTCTCACTCAGCATGAGAAACTCTACTTACTGATGTATCGACAGCCATACAGTTTTCTGAGTGAGAACCACTATCCCGTGTACTGTTCGCAGATTGCTGTTCTACAGGCGGAACTTTAAACGTTAATAACTTTTTAACGAAGTCTCAGTCAACAAATTGGCATTCTTGATTTTCGTCTTATTTTGACCTCCAGAATCTCCCATTAAAATTTTTCCCAGGACTGGCCGAACACCCTGTATATCGATCGAAACATGCAATTAGAGCTCAGATTGACTCAGACATGTTTTTGCGAATACGCTTATCGTGAAACAGTGGGACAAGCGTAAAGTGAACTTTGAAGAGAAAATAAAAACAAGTTCAAATTGATTGTCTTGTTTTCTAATAGGCTGCTCGTTTGACTACTGCCTGTTCCATGATTCAAAGTATCGGGCACGAAGTACGCATTCGACCATTTGTTTATCAATGCACTCCGGGCGAGGATCTCGACACTATACTTCTGTACACATCGTCATTAAAAATGTGCGCCAGACTTTTCAGAGTTCCGATCACGGGCAGGTATCTTTGTCTCCTGCTGACTATAAGCAGCATCTTGATTCTCACGCTAGGACAGTGTGAATTTCTGTGATAATCGTATTACGTTCAATCCAATTTTACAAAACAGCTTTTTGTATATGCTTCATTTTACACGTGTAATTAATTTCCTTTTATTGTATAATAACATCTACGTTTCACTGCTTCGATTTCTGTTCACCCTACAACTTATTTAAGTTGCTTATCGTTCGTGAAAATATATATTGCGATGAAGCTGGTGGTGAACTAATCAAAATATACTCGAATTTTTAAATATATATGTACATATATAATGTTTGATTATTATCATATTTTCATAAAACTTTACGTTTAAGGAAGTATCCTTACAATAAATATTTATCGTTTCTTTTTGCGGTCGCATTTATTTCACAGAACTGCTATTAAGTTTTTCACACCTTGTCCTCTTTAATTCCGAAGAAATTTATTAAACTAATAAATGACGCGCATTATTCATTATCGATGTATCTTTGTTCAGTGACAAAAGAATTCTCAAAAATATTTTTAATTGTCGTTCAAATACTTATTTGTAATAACGTTACTGAAAGCTGCTCAGGTCTTACAATTGCTTTTTGTCTAATAAAATTTACAATTTTCGTTAAAAATTTGTTTGAAAGAACTAAAATTAGAATATCGTAACAGATAAACATATCTGTGCGAGACTTTTCAATATTCTTTCAACGAGGAAAAATTAAATTTTTCAACGTAATAAAATGAACGAAAATAGAATTTGTAGTTTTTTTAATTGTAGATGTTTCATTTTTTTTACAAAGTTTTGTTTAAATTGTAAAAATAGAGCCCAGGTAGTGCATATTGAAGCTTCGTATTAGTTCGTGTTTATTTCTGATATTAACGTACTTAGGAATACGTGCTCGCATAAATATGCATACAATTATATTAATGCAGTATCAATCTAATTAACAATAGATATTTTGAGTAATCAACAATTATGCAATTATCTGTGAATCAATATATGTAAGGTATACGTATACTAGATATCGTTAATGCTTTGAATTGATCCGCATGACTAAATACGATAACTGTCATAAGTTGTATTTTGAAGTTGCGTCTTGTAGAAATCCTTCGAAGCTATAAAGAACCTCAGTGGCAGTTGTAGGAATAATATTAAGTAAAATTATGGATTTACTGGGATCTATTTTAAATTCAATGGACAAGCCTCCTACAATTAGTGATAAGCAAAAAGCATTAATGAAAAGTTAGTCACAAGTTAACCTACATCGTATATTTTCCGAGCAAGTTTTTGTTTTAGTATTTATGAAAACAATTTTGTCTATGTAGAACAGAAAGAGGAGTATCAGAAGCATCAAGTAGCGGAAGCTGAAATGTTAAAGGTTTTTCGAGAGAAGGTCTATATTTTTTATATGTCATTTTATTTTCATCGAGATAGGTTATACGCGTATCATCGCTGTTGTGTTGTTTTATTAGGTGGAAGGAAAGATTAATAAATTCCTTCAGGATGACGTTGCAAAGGAATATAAATTCCCTCCAATGGATCAAATCCATAGAAGTATAATGTACATAGGAAAAAGTTGTCATTTAAATTATATACGAAATAATAATATAAATGTTTTTATATTGTAGACATGACGTTGCTGAAGTGGCAAATGTATGGGCATATTCCTTTGGCGAGGAAGGCATCGATCGGCATATCATGATTTTTAAGAGAGAATATGCCCCATCGGAAGATCAATTAAACGTGTTACGCAGAGGTGAAGAATGGAACGAAGAGATAGCGAAGAGGCTAGTCGAAGAAAGGGAAAGACAAGCCAAAGAAGAAGTAGAAACTGCTAAATCTAAGAAACGAAAAGATAATTTTGTACCAAATAGTTATTACAAGGATAAGTATCAACATTTAATTGGAAAGGAAGCTGCTCTAGAAGCAGCCAAAAAAACAGAAGCTAATAGTAGTTATGGCTGTGGTAAGTAATCCTATAATTGTTTTTTGTCTGCAAGATACTTTTGTCATTAATCGAAAAATGAATTTTTAGTTCCGAGTGAAAATAAAAAGGACCAGAGAAGTATAGAGCAGACATTGGCGGATATACGCGCGAAAAAAAGAAAATTAAATGAAAGTACTAACACGTCGAATTGTAAAGATAAAAGTACAAAATAGTGAGACACGTTATAACATTTAATAAGCATTCAATATTATTTTTAATTCTAAATTGTAAATATTTCGTGTTAGACACGTGACAATGTATGTACAAGTTGTGTCAAGCGTTTTCATAAAGTTGTTCATATTTTTTTGGTTGTAGCACGGTTATCCATTTGTTCGACATTAGTATTATTTATGTACCTGCGATGGAAACGGAAAAGAAGTTTTACTTTTTCAATTCAGTACATGTATTTACTAAAAAGGTAGAACTGACTTATATGTACAATATAATACATTCGTCGTACAAGGCGAATTGAAACGTTCTATTTTTTCTTGCATTTCCATTTCTTGTATACATCTCTATATACAGTACAGTCTATATATTCCGGTTCAGTTAAATGTATTCCGTGGTCGAATACTTTGGTATCGAAGTTCTAGGAGCAGGTTTTGGTTTTGCTGGGGACAATGAGTCAAATACGATCTGCTCTTTCAGCGCTAATAATTTCTTGAAGGTTTGATTTGTTACTGATTTATATAGCTCTAGTCCTCGCATAATTATAACATCCCGGACATAGGTTGCATTATCGTGAACCAACTGTTTCTAAAACCATGGCAAAGAAAAAGGAACATTTATTAACGCAAAAATGATAACAACAGAAAATACAGTAGTGCCCACTTAATTGACCGCGCTCGTTTAAGTGGGCAAAAGTACAGTCAGTTAAATGGGCATTGCTGTAGTCGCAGGAAACTTTTATAAATCATGACGTGAAAAGAAAGAGAAAAAATTTATTACCTCTTGCTTTAATTTCGGATTTGTAAGTGACAAAGTTATGTGCTGTACTTGAGTTCGCATCACGGATACTAGAACCCCATCTATCGTAGCCATAAGTTCCGGTGTAGCGACGCTGAGACAGTCCTCCAGAAGACTGACGTAAATTTTTGAGAAAGCTAATGTATTATCGGTCAACGTTATCCAGCGATCGTTTGTTATGTAAGATGATGGTACAGTGATCCCCAGGTCATCCAGCTCGGATAATACTTTTTGAACATTTTTGCTGGATTCTAAATTAGTTGGCCGCCAAGTGTCTTCGGCTATATGCACCTTTATGGTATCGACGTATTTCTCGCCTGCTTCTTGTATAGCTTTCGCTAACGGGGATCTAAGCTGGCCGTCTAACTGATAACGAAAATCCATTCCTAATTGAGTCAACTGAAAATCAAGTGATACTTGGATATAACAATTCTTATATGTTAGACAATGTTTCATCAAAATTGATATCTCAAAGATAAAAATGACATAAATGCCATACCTGATCGCAGTGACTTCGAACAGAGACTATACACTCCACCAAGGTACTCAGGGACACTTGCGGAATAAAAAGTTGTTTGGTCAAATGCGTCGTCAAATGTTTAACTTCTTGGCTGCACCAGACAACTAAACCTGAATATGAACATAAAAAGAAAGCAAGTAAAAAAAGGAATATAAATGAATTTTAGTATCAGATAGTACAGTAGTGCCCACTTAAGTGTCCGCGCTCGGGATCGGTCGCCCAGAATTCAACGGAGATGAGGAAGAAGAATCGATGGGGATAACCGCGGGACACTTAAGCGCCCAAAAAAAAGGGCGGTCATTTAAGTGAGCACTACTGTATTCAGTTAAATTATTTTTTAATTACCAGACGTGCAATTTGTAGACTGTGGAAAAATTTTCAAAAATTCTTTTGCGATTTCCACAATATTGCTAAAGGCAATCGCACTAAGTTGCTTCACATAGGGTGCGATAGGTCCTTCTTTTTTAACTCTTTTCAAACGTGCCTTTAGCACGGCGCTGCAGAGCCGTAAATACAATTGACACGCTTGAGCGCTTCTATTTAATTGTATCAAGAGTCTTACCACCCGTCGCGCGCTTCTTAAACCGCCACCTTGAAGCGATTTTGCTTCTGCGCTTAATTCAAGTTCTTTTGTTAGAACGTCAACGAGCGACCGTCCTCTATCATTTACTTTCGATTGAGTCTCGAGTAAAAGTGGGGTTGTTTCAGCATCTTTCAAATAAGCTTTTGCTCTCTCCAAAAGGCTGTAAGCTTCTTCAAAGTGACGTTGAGCTATACAAGAATCCAGATCTTCTGCAACCTCTAGCATCCACTCCGGCGGAGGTTCATGATATTCCGAATCTTCATCATCTATACCTACAAAAGAACGACTGAAAAATTTAATTTAATTTAATTTAATTTAACGTAATTTCATTCAATGCTACGATTTTACAATTACTAAACATACCCAAGGTGTTAGAATCTAGAGACATGGATCGAGAAGGTGCCGTTTTTTCTTCTTTCTGTGGTTTATTATTAACTGATGCATCTGTTGGATTGTCTTCTGCCAATTTCATTTTCTTTGCTTGCTCACATTTATCTAGCCATTCTTTCTACAAGGTAAAGCATAATTCAGATCTTCCTTTCTCAAATTTTAGAAGTATTACTTTTGTAACACACTAACTTTACTTGTTGCAGTTGCACACTGGAATACTCTTGTATCAGAGAATGCCAACAGTTTGAATGCCAATTTTACAGTTCCAAGGTCTCTGACGTTAACAACAGCTAAACTTTCAAGATTGTAAACTGCTTGCATTTTATACTTGGGTGGTCCTCTTCTGCTGCCGTTTGCCAACCAAGAGGCAATCAGTAAAATATCATTAAATAAGTATGCATGAACTCTTTTTAATGGTGTTCCCTCTATAGAATCTAACTCTAGCAAAGAACCTTCGTGTAAGCACATGCGACCAGGTATTTCTGCTAAACTCTGCGAAACCAAGTCAAAATTGTATTATTATTTTTTGTCTCTATCCAAGAGAACCGAAGGTTTCATTGGCTCACCATAGCACCTTCCACGTTTTCTAGCAGTTGCATCAGTTTTTGTTTCTGTTCCTCTTCTTTGGAGGTAGAATCATTAGCATCTTCCACTTGAGATTCAGATAAATCTTCAAAAATAACACCAGTAGTTCTGGTGGATCCTAATGTACTTAACAATGAACGTTGTTCGCTTAGTAACTGAGACAATTGGTACATTTCACTTTCCAAATGTGAGATCTCTTTAGCAGTCTCTATAAATTGCATATAATTCTGGTAGACATTACGCTTCAGTTGTGCGGACGTATTATTTGCAAGTTCTTGAATTTTGGCCCGTTGTTGCCTCAATTCGTCTGCACCGACGCATTGTGCACTGAGCTCCTTCACAACTGAAAGATAGCCAAAAGATTATACTATTGAAACCATTACAGTTACAAGTGTTTCGTTTGCTTCAGAAATTTTACTTACATTTTTCTGGATTAAAATCTTCAGTTGTAAAGACTCTTGCTAAACTATCGGCCATCGTAAAAAAATATTCGATCCCTGCTATGTCAAAGATTGTTCATTTTATGAGCCAACAAATGCAATAGCCACCTAGTGGCCATACGAGAAGGGTACCTATTCTTACGCCTTAAAACTACGCCTTCCGATTTTTATACGAACCTCTTCGCCTTTATATCGAATAGTTTTTTAGCATACTGTTATACGAAACACAATAACACTGATGGGACCAATTTTTAATTACAATTCGTATATATTTTCCAAATCTTTAATATTACAGATCTTTAATATATCTAAGGGTTATCTTAGTTCATATATGTAACCACTAGGTGGCTATAACAATTATTGCACATTTTGTTGGTAAGTAAATAGTTACTCTAAGGCAGTGATGCCAGATTGAGCACCGGGTGCACTACTCACACTATGCCAGATCACGCGTACGTGAGCTCGTGGAGTTTCGGAAAGTCGACAAAGGCAAGCTGACACATGCTCTCTTTCTCGATTCTCCGAAGCTACCCGAAGTAATTTCGGACCGCCTCGTGGGAGTCGAGAGAGAAAGGCTCACGTTTACCTTCTCGATCTTGGACAACTGAAATTCGACGGCAAATGAGCCTTCTTCTCTCGACTCCCACGAGGCGGTCCGAAATTACTTCGGGCAGCTTCGGAGAATCGAGAAAGAGGGCATGCGTCGGTTTGCCTTTGTCGACTCTCCGAAACTCCACGAGCTCACGTACGCGTGATCTGGTATAGTGTGAGTAGTGCACCCGGTGCTCAATCTGGCATCACTGCTCCAAGGATGAAAGTTTCAGCCTGTTGTTTGATGTGTTGAGTTTAAGTCGATATATGTAAACGCCAATGATGATGTCTAATAAAATGAGTTTGTTTTTGCGACATCTTTATAAACGTTCGACTTGCAGCCGCATGACTTGTCATCGGTTTTGTTCTTCGGTTTCTAAAAAAGCAGGTACGTACCATTGATTCTTTAAGAACGTCTTCATACCACAATACATCTCTTTAGTTTATAGGTTATATTTACTTTAAAAATATACAAAAAAGAATAACATTAAAATAACATTATTGTGTATTGTTTCACTTTGCAGTAATATTATTGAGAATTGAACAAAATCTATTACTATTATTTTGATAGTAACATAATAGATTAATAAATCTATTTCTACTATTTTTTTTGATTTAACAGACTAATAAATCTATTTTTATTATTTTTTTTTACAGAGTTAGATGATCCGGCGCCATTGTTTTTTAATTCAGATGTGCAGAAGCTATTGAGAAAATTGACACGCGTCAGTTCAGAAAGAGCTTTCAGAAACCGCAAAGAAGGACATATGCTGTTACCTCCAAAGTTCAAGTTTATGACAGATGAGGGGCTTCAGCAAGCACAGGATGAAATTCAGACAAAACTGGATCTTATTTTGCAAATACCACCTGTGGTAAAGGCACGCTCAGATACAATTGAAATACTAGCTACAGATGCTGCTCTAAGAGGCTATGACCAATCAAAGTTTGTGTTCACTGACATAAGTTATGGTGGTAGAACTAGAGACAGATTAATAGTTGTTCGAGAACCTGATGGTACATTGAGACACGCAAATACGAATGAAAGGAACCGAATGACTCAGGTGTACTATTCAGTTGATCACAGAGAAATACATGTACCAAAGATGTTTTACGATCCTTACTTCAAAGTAAGAAAATGGTATTGTTTCAGATAGTTCTTTGTACAGTAATGCTTGGATAACTGCCAGTAATTTTAGATTGGATAAGTGTTATTACAGTAGTGCCCACTTAAGTGTCCGCGGTCGTTCAAGTGGACATGGTGACAAGCCGAATTATGAAAATTAGCCATGCTTTCATAATTGCGAGACTTCGGTCTCGTGTTCCTTTCAGTTATCCAAGTATTGTTGTATACAGAATTATAGTTACTTAGTTCATCCGAATCGTTTATATTTGTACAGGATCTATTGGATAGAGGAGAGTTCGAGTTCATCTTGGATCGCGCTTGCATACAGTTCGAACCAGACGATTCGGAGTATCAAAGGATTGTTAATGAAGTTTGTTCTTATGTAAATTCAACGAAAAAATTCAATGGTTTACGATCTACTAGGCACTTTGGTTCGTTGGCGTTCATCCTCGCTTGGAACAAGAATATCGATGATTTATTGATAGACGTGCTTAAAAGTAAAAGGATAGACGAAGCGGCATCACTGATACGACTTTACCATATAATTCATCCTGATGCCAAATCGGCAGCTGAAGTACAGACCGAGGACGAAATGGACTTGATAAGATGTTACGCGAAATTAGATGCGACGAAACGAAAAGATATAGAGCACGCCGTTTTAATGTACGAAAAGTTTCAAAACACAGAAAAAGAAGTGCAGGAGGGTATAAAAATAGCGCATGGTTTTAACACTGACGAGAATCAGCCGGAATCACAACCAAATTAAATCTTCTGCTCGTACGTACGTCTGTTTTTTTTTTTTTTATACCCATACACATGCGCAAATGTCGAACATGATTATCGAAAATAAATAATTTGTCATTTGGATGGAGAATAAATTGATCAAGATGTTTTATGTTTAATATTCTTTATGTTTTATAAATACCATTGATAAATTCTTCACGTTTAATGTCGATGAGAGCTAGATGGGTCATAGAATCGCAATTGCGTTTTATTTGTATAGATTATTTTATTACGTGATAGTACTTACAAACATTTACAAATGTAACAAGTCAATTCGATTTGGCGTACAGGATCGTCGGAAAACATTACGTATCGACAATGTCGGCTAACGTTACGGATGAAACTGAATCGATTCGGGTCCCGCTTTGTGTCGGCGCGGTCGACTGGTGG